GAGAAGGCCTCCAGCTGCAACTTGCAATCTTGCATGTCCGAACCCACATACTGAACCCAAGAAACATCCCAGAAGCACTGTCTCCTTCGCGTGCCGCTCTTCGACCTCCCGCTTCTCCGCTGCACACCTACTCGGACTACTCGGGGGCGATCAAGCTATCTAGGGCTGATATTTAGAGATGATCAATGGCAACAGCAACAGAATATAGGCTGTTCACAAAATGGACCCCCTCTGGGGAACTGTTTGGTCTTTAAATACTATCTTTTGCGTTCTCGACTGGGCGTGTTTCGCGTTGTGTGTCCAAATCGTGCTCTCGTCTGGGCATGGGCTTGACTACAGGGGGCGGCTTCTGTCATATCAAAAGCACGGCTTTGGCATCGCCCAAAGTCTAATGCGCAGCTGTCATTTAAGTTGCACTCCCTCCTCGGTCCCGCGCGCTTTTTCGCTTCGACGCTTGTGCCGTGTCGCGAAAAATGTGGAAGGGAATGGCAGGGACGTACAGTCCTGCATCTCGAGCTCTAGGAGGTAACCCTTCGCACGCCCGTTGAAATTAAGGGGATCTGCGCTGATCTGCCCTTGGCTGTGTTCGAAAATGATGCTCCTGCCCGTCCCACGCGCATGCTCCTCGTTAGGACAGATCTCGTCGCTGCATGTCGCTATGGCGCGTTGAATCGCGCTCCGCTCACTCTTACACCATCCTAGACCTGCAGAGGTCTTAGACAAACGTTGCTGCAACAAACCCACCTTCGTTTCTCCGCCTCGAGATGGGCGCGCGCCGCCCTTTCTCGGCTCCGGACGGCGGCGACATTGCCCGCCAGGGCCTTGGAGAGATTGGGGTACTCGGGCGATGGAGGCTTGCTCGAGAGCAGCTTTGTTCTGTCCTTTGTGAAATGGGTGCTTGTCAGGTTAGGTGCGGCGTTGTGATTCTTAGGTATGTGATCTTTGGAAACTTGGGGAGGTCTTGGGTGCGCACCTATATTGTCATGCCACGCACCCGACCACCTCCCCCTCCAGCACTTCCAACAGTGGTCCATGGGACTGTCTGTGGGGCTGCTGCCGGTCTAGGGTAGGTCTGAGAACATAAAAACTTCTGTGTGGCACTCTTGGCTCTTTTGGAGGCCGCACTATGAACACTCCGGTGGCCTTCGCGGGAGGTTCATGCAGGAACCTTGATTTAGGATAGATTTCGGATGGGGGCCTCGAACTCTCAACCCTATTAACTCCGCATTTCGACCCCTCCAAATTTCGAAGCCTTTGAACCGCACAAGCCAGCACACCCCAACCCTGTAAAGCCGAAACGGCCTCAGCGTCTTCGCGGCGCCGGCACAGCTCGGCCGATAGGCTCGCCCGCTCGGCCTCGAGGGTCCCTGGAGCTGCTGGGCTTGGGTGGGGTGGTTTGGGTCGGGGTCTATAGGGGTTTAATGACTTCGGGGAGGGATTTGACCGAAACAGCAACTCAAAGTCAAGCTGCAATCCACAAGGACGAACGAGTGCAATCCCCAGGAGGTCAAGGGGGTGGAAAGGCAAGGATCCAGTTCACTATACCGGAGGGAATAAGGCCTCGCTGCTGCCGCAAGATGTCCACATCACCAGCCGCATGCGCGACTCCGACAGCCGGCCGCTTTTGCCGCAACCCTTGGGAGGCCAAGATGGCCAAGCCCAGTTTCAGGTACTCAGGTACTCAGGTACTCAGGTACTCAGGTACTCAGGTACTGAGTGCACTGTTCACGACAGTGACCGAATACAAAACACAGCTGGTGTCTTTCCTTGCGGGCGTGCAGCAGGTTGAAGCCTTGCTGCCTTGCAGCTCTAGGAAAACGCTCGCCTTTGACCCCTAAGCTCTCAACCAACATGCAGTAGCACTATAACCGGACCAGCAGCAACCCTCAGCACCCAAGAGGAAGAAGACCGGGACTGACCAGCAGCAGCAGCAGCAGCAGCAGCAGCAGCAGCAGCAGCAGCAGCAGCAGCAGCAGCAGCAGCAGCAGCAGCAGCAGCAGCAGCAGCAGCAGCAAAAGGAAACAAGAAATGCAGGAAGGGCTTAGAGTTTAGCACTAGGGGTTCAGTGTTTAGGGTTATGCCGGAAGGAGAATAAACAGAAACACGTTTGAATGGAGCCAAGCCGCTCTGCAGCTCAGCCTCACCCGCCTGACAACACCAACAGTCACCATCTCCGAGAAGCCCCGTCGACAAATCGCATGTTTGGCGAAATGTACGTATGTATGTACAAAGACAAACAAACAAATAAGTAAATATACACATATGTATATGTTTTAGATTCTAGCTGATGCAATTCTTGTGAGGTTGCAAGCGTGAAAAAGCAACGTTGGGATGTGCAACCGTCGCGCTTCTGCTATGCACGAGCCTGGTACGCTTCAGGTTTTAATTGTGGAGGTGCTGTGGGCTTGAAGCACAGGTGATGTTCAGGATGAGGCTGCCTGATGCTTGACTATGAGCGATGAGAGCAACTCTGAATCGGAAACTGTCAGTTTTTCGATGTCAGTGATGACTCAAATTTATCGGGTAACCCCTGTTGATCATTTTGATGGTGTTTCAAATCAATTGTCTGGATTAAGGGTTGAAGACTGCACATCGGTGAAGACTCGAGGAGCCAAATAGGGGCGGGGTTGGGGTGTTCCATATGCATACATGGCACACAAGCAATACAAATAGATGAACAGGTAGACATACATATACACAAACAAACACAACAACAAACAACAAAACATATGTACATCCATACCTACATGCACATTATATATATACATATATATATATGTCTAATGTGCATGTATTTAAATACATACATACATACATGCATACATGCATACATATGAATATGTATATATATATATATACATATATGCCCCACCCCCCCCCCCCCCCCACCCACCCCCCAACCCCGCATTGGGTCTGAGGCAGAAACAGAAGCGAATGGGCCTGATGAGTGTAATGTGTGGTTTGAGGCAGACACACTGCGGCTGAAGCCGAGATTATTGATGAATCGAACATGCGTGTTTTTTCACTAGTACAGCAGAAGTCACATGAAAAGAGCAGGGCGACGAGGTTATGGCGAGAGGCTGCGTACTTCGGATGGCGGATGTCTGGCCCGACATGCTTGAAGAGCGCCAGAGTTCATATCACCCAGAAGCCGATGCTTATGCCGCTATGCTCCAAAAAAAACATTGGTTTAGTTAGGAGTCCCTTAAGTGGGCGTACGGTTTGGGGTTTGGGGCGTTCTGCAGCACAATTTTCAAATGTGTTGAAACCTCTAGGATTTTTGGGAAGGACCAAGGACAAGGCTCCGCCCGATCTGGATTTAGATATTTATTGGCCGGAAAGCATATCAAAGAGCACCCGATTATGCTGACTAAGTTGAAGTACCTTGCGAGTAACCTTTTGAGCCATGATTTCTTGGACCCTAGTTATGTCTTTTGTGTCCGATCACAACGTCAAGCTGCAGTATCCATAGGTTTTTGTTGCGAATGCTAGCAGACTACATTTGCTAGCACATTTTCAGAATAGGATTGAAGCTGAAGACGGTGGATCAATGGGGGGCGGGAAGCAAATATAAATTTGCATTGAAGTCATATACATACATATATATATAATATATTTCTATGTACATACTTCGAAAGCACTACCACTATTGCATAGGGAACTGACATTCGGCCCACGGTCCCGGCCGCACCTCGGCCCGGGCAGCGGCGGCTTGGCTCTCGCGATGTGCCGCTGCCGCCGCGCGCTGCAGGCGGGCGCAGAGGCGCTCGGCGTCCGTGACGCGCGCCTGGAGGGCAGAGCGCATGGGATGGTTTCTAGATGTGTGTAGTGAGGGAGTGGAGTGGGTGGTCTGGGGCTCCTCATCTTCCGAGTTTGAGCTGCAGACCCAAGTGTCTCTGCAGCTTTTGCTGGTTGGCTTTCTGAGGCCTTCCATGTTCCGCTGCTTTGGATTCGCCGGCCTGCGCATCGTCAATGAAGCGCTCGTTTTGCTTGAGCTGCAGCTGAAACCTTTGAGGCCCGCAACAAATGCACGCCGGAGCAGAACCCGGGCATTTCGGCCAAGCAGCACAGCAACTGTCTCAAGTAAAGTCTGCAGGCGGTGCCCCTGGCACAGGCATGAAAGCATATCAAGCAGAACATGCCGAAGGAGCAAAGGCTCTCCCCAAATCTCAGCGTCTAATGAAGCACTCCTCTCAAGCGATCTTCAGCTGGCGCACTTTTCTCCGAGCTGCACAGAGTACTTCTTAACAGTACTGGCTTCCACACAAACAGCATTCTACTGTGGGCCACTGCCATGCCCTTCAGAAATTGGGAACAAGGCAAAACAGCAGCCCACGCGTCAGCACAGATGCTGTCAAACTAAATAACTCTCCTTCTTCAAACGAGGCCGCACCAAACTTCCTGGGTGGGAATACTCTGGACAATTGCTCGACCTGACTTGACTTGAAGGCGATTCTCCATGTCGAGTGTCAATCCGAACCGGGCCCTGCTTGGCAGGGGCCCATGCCTGCACATCCTGCACGTTGCACTCAGAGGTGGAGAAGGCTTCAGGAAACGGGTCAGGAAGCTGCCATGTTGAAACTCGCATGGCTGACACAAGGAGCCGATACTCATGTACTGTCCTAGTCTACGTGTTTTCTCTCTTTGATCGGACTCCATGGGTGATGGAACGGCGCCTGACAGCGCACGGTGCATCGAATTTGTTGGAGTCGAGGCGCTGGCCAGTGCACGTTTGTATGTATATTATGCATTCAGAACTTGCCGTTTACAAGTGCACATGCACATGTACATACATAAATATAATTTATAGACGTGAGATGCATATTATATGACTGCATACGGTGTCTCAATATGTGTTATTCGTAAGCTCGACCGGCTGTACTGATCCATCTGGGGCTCGTTTCCAGGAAGGAACGCTGCATGTTGTGCAGTTCGCAGGAGGAACCCCAGAGATTTTCATCCAAGGGACTGGCAAGCGGTTCGAGGGGAGCACCTAGACTCTAGACAGTTTTACGCCGTCCGGCGATGGGACACACACATGGGAGATGAAGCAAGTCCTCACTTTCCTCATCACTTTCCTGTTCGCCCTCTGCCCCTGGGCTCGCTTCCTCCAAACTCTCTGCAGACTTGACTCTCAAGCTGCGCAAGTGCTTGACACCGGGCAAGAAGGATGCATAGAATGCCTCGACGGGGCCGCTGTCCTCAGCGCGGGCGAAATACTTCATGTACCAAACTATAAACTCTGAGAAATCCACGCTGCCACTCGCGTCCGCGTCCAATTCTTGCCAGAAACGTGGCATGCGCTTCATCGGCAGGTCAGACTTGTTGGGGCAGTTAAGAAGCTTGCACATCATCGCCTCGAACTCTTTGTACTCAATCAGCCCCGACTTGTCGAGGTCGAAAGAGTCGAACTTCAGCTTTATTTTGTCAAGCTGATTACATGAGCAGCGATGCTTTTTGGCTAACTCCAGGATCAAGTCCTTTGGGGTCTGCTCTTCGCAGGGCTTGCGACCGATGGCAAAGAAGTGATCGCGATACCAGGACATGAACTGCCGAGGACAGACAGGTCCGTCTGCTGCCTGGCAACGTCGATACGCGTCCTGAACCAACTCTTCCGAAACCTCCTCGATGCCCAGCTTGCCCAGCGTTTGAAGCAAGCAGCCTTCGAAAGCAAGCAAATCCATGCCCGTCCAGGGTTGCTTGGACAACTGTTGTCGGAGCTCCTGCAGCAATAACTTCACTTCGTGTAAATCCAAATGGAGGTCGCGGGCCAGAAGGACGGCCTGAACGCCTGAGTCCTTGCTGTCATCCAGCTCGGGCAACGGGCTGTGCCTGCTCATAGACTCTGCCTGTGCTACGCTGTGCTCGGAATTCGCCCGACTGCGTGTCCAGCTTCTCAAAGACTCAGCCCGCGACCCCGGGCACCTGGAAGACCGTGGGGTTTGTTGCAGGCTGCTCACATTCTCTCGGTCGTCACCACGCCGGTGACGATGGTAGGAGAAGCTTCGTCTGTACCAGGTGCGGCTCAGCAAGGGAGCTTGGAGTTGTTTGGCCACCATGTGGGACCTCCGAGCCCAATGTGGCAAGATCGATGCGGGGGTCGGTTGCCGCGGGGTGCCTCCGGACGCATGCCGCAAGCCCACTGCAGAATCTGCCATGAGGCCGAGAGGCCACGATCTCACTTACGTGGGCCGCGATAAAATGCCGGGCTCGAGTCTCCAAGAGCTCATGAACAGCAAACAAACATGGCGGGCACTAATTAGAATCACAGTCAATGCTCGAGACTCTCTTCCCTCGCCTCGCCGCCCATGCGTGCGAACGGCTGTTCGCCAGAGCGCTAGGTATGACTTCTATGATGGCCTTGTGGGAATCGCACGGCTTGAATCTTGTTTGGCTCCTTTCCTAGTGTTGCTAAACATGGTGAAGAGGTTCAGGTCTACGCCACTGAATGGAAAGAAGCATTGGATGGCGAACCATGTCTTCTCCGAGCAAGAGGGTCGCTAGAAAGGTCAGATTGCACTGTGCCAGGTACGCAGAACATCTTCGGCAGGCCTCTGTGCACACTCGGAATGATGTGAAGGAACGTCGTTATCGCCGCTACAAGGCTGTTGAAGTAGCGTGGGTTGCAGAGGCAACTTGCGCATGTGTGATGGATACCGCAACCAAGATTGTTCCCATCATGTGATCGATGGCACTGGTTTGCAAAAAAGGAATTCTCATGCGCTGTTGCCTGCACGATACTGTGTAACTGCAAGCTTGTATGCACCGAGCCCCAAATGCCCGCCACACTGTGGCCTGAATTCAGCTGCTCCGCTCTTTAGCTGTAGCGGATTTCGAAAGTTGCAGTAGCTGGCTATGTGGGAAAAGACCTCTGAAATTCGCCTCGGCTTCCTGCCGAGAAGCATCTGGAACAAGCAGACCCGGATCCGGTCTCCTTGCCCCCCCATGCAGAATTTTGTGACGCACGCCCCCCCCCCTCCCCCCCCCTCCCTGCGGGACCACCCCCGATCGCTTGGAGCAGCTGCAAACCGATGCCGTCCTCAAAATGCACGAACCTCCTGTGACCCCCCGGGAGAACCGCCTGGGGCGGGGCACATCCCTAAATGGTCTCCGACGTCATCCCACATACTGCATGCTGGGGCCGGCCCGGCTGTCGAGGCGGTGCGCGCAAGCGTTTACAACTACAGAACTCCACGACTCCATCCGTGAGACATCTAACTTTGCATGCCGTCCTCCTCACCCTGTCACCCCCCACAGAAGGGCAATGGGAGGTACAATAGTGTCTCCAAAACTCTACGCTCGAGTTCGCCCAATCAGCTAATGCAGATCCGTGTTTTGTTTCAGCGCAAATCTCCGCTGTAACCTCCTTTGCGTGACCGAGCCTGCGCTGTACTACGCACTGCAGTGACACGATGGAATGGTCGGAGACCATTGTCACCGCCGTTGCCTCAATTCCGTGACATGTAAATGCTGGTTCAATTGGTCCTATGGCCATGCTCCATAGTCTTCATAACACAACACTTTGGTTTGGTGTACCCCAAAGGGGGGGGAGGGGCCTTCACTTAGAGAACTAAGATACCACCATGTTGAGGCACAGCAGGACTTCAACCGCAGGATCTGAGCTTCATCCCGCTGAACTTTGCAGAATTCAAGGCTGTGTGGTACGCAATATGGGAGTCCAGCCAAGAAGCTCAAATCTAGCTGTTGCACGATATGTTCAGGTTCTGTGCTGTATGACATGGCCTGCTATAAATGAAGCAGCCTTGCCTCCAGCTCAGCGTGAGGTGCATGGGACACCACGTGGAGCGTGCCAGTGCAAGCACGTACGTCAAAGTAATGTAAAGTACAACCTTTCGTCACCCCACCTGTTGTTGAGAAAGCCGCACGAGCAGGGACGCTGAGCGTGGGTCTGGGCGCGGAGCGGCCCGGTACCCACAAGACTGCACCACAAACTCAGGACTGGTGGCCTCTCGATACACCTCGATGCATCTAAGAGTCTACCATCATCTACCAGCAGTCCATAGCCATAGCAGTCCTATCTGCTTGGATTCGCGGCTTGGCTCGCATGAGTACAGTTTATACAGTCGACTCCCAATTGGTAAACACGGCTGAACTCCAAGGGCGCACAGAGCTCTAAGCCGCTGAATCCCCGGTCCATAGGTCCATGGCTCCTTGAGAATGTAAGGACACAGAATCCAAGGGCAGCTCAGGCCGCGGAGGGTGTTCAAACGCTTTCAAACGCCAGCCATACCTGCAAGCCGCAGGTCGACACAGGCAAGGGGTTTGGTGACGTTCGGTGAAGTTCTGCGCGTTTGAGAACACCACCTTGCCCCTCCTCAAGTCCGCCAAACATCTCTCACTCTCTCACCGACATTCAAAATGCAATAAATGCAAGCAGCTGCCTCGACTTGGCTAATCCACGGGCAGCGCCGTGCGCCGGGTCATGGCCCGGAGGACTAAGTCCATGCTTGTCCTGCGAATGGCTTGGCAAATTGAGAGGGTTTAAAGCTTGGTGTCGGGAGGTTCTGGTTTTCGAACATCTGCGGATGTTCTTCATGACAAAGAAGTACTCAGCATCAAAGCTGAGCAGGCGATCTTTTGGACTCTGCCGTGCGAAGCTAAAACATGCAGCGTGCAACTTGCAAACTACTCCGAACGAACAACCTGGGCGTCTGTAAATGAAGAGGCCTCTTCTGGGTAGGCCACTTAGGTTGCCGACCGCAACGGCGCACGCGGTGGGGCGGGGCCTTCGTTTCCACGCTCCCGCTGTGGTTCGCGCGAATTTCGTTGCGTTGTTGCTTCGCGTGAGTTCTGGCCTCTTCTGGCTTGCTCGAGCCTCTTCTGGCTCTTCTGGGGCGGGCCCACATAGGTTGCGTCTACCATGTCGGTCTCCTCACAGCACGGGCGGCAACCCACTCGGCCGCTGTGCTTTTGGTGACCTTGCTGCAGATCTGGCTTCATTCTGCATCTTCATCACTCAACGTTGCATTTGGGCAGGTGCATGGATGGCTGCAAGCACCCTGAGCCTTGAACCTGCACTCCTACACAAGCAAGACTCGGCTTACCTTCGAACCTGAAAACCAAGAAGGAACCCTTTCCGATCCATGGTCCAGGAAACCCAACCCCAAAATGTGGGAAGAAGGATACACTTCGGATACACTCTGCAGGGGGGATCCCGGAGAAGCTCCGCAGTTCCATCACTGGCCTCTGCACCGCGCTTCAGGGCAACTCGCATGGCCACAGAGGCTTTTTGCCGGGCCTGCCCCCAGGGCAGCATTCTGTTTCTAGGTGTTTCTTGAGGGGGAGGGGGGGGGGGGTGAGAAGGTGGTGAGGGGATTGAATTTCTGGGGGGTTTGGGAGGTTTCAGGGGCGCAGGGAATTCTACTTCACCATGTTAAAGGCTGCGGCTACGTACCCGACGACTCCACTGGCGAAACTAACAAGAACGCCCACAGAGTTAGTGTCCGACCTGCGAGCTCATGTGCGGAAAGAGGAAGATCACGCGATAGTCGGATTCCAGATGTTCCCGCTTGTCTTGCCACAGGACAGTGAAGGACTGGCAAAACCTCAGAACTTCGCTATCTAATGTTGACAAGGTCTCGGCAAGAAAGCTGAAGCCCGCAGCAACTACCATCTGTCCCCTCATAGCGCCAAAGGCGGCATGACTTCTCCCGCACTTGCGATGGCTCGTCTCACACCGGACTGGGGCCGAGGCAAATAGCCTGGCACCAGGAGGAGCGCAACACAAAATCGCGGCACCAGTCGAATCGCTAGTCTCGTGCAGCACTTCTTTGCGCAGAAAGACTTCTGCAAAGCAATCCAGCCAGTGAAAGCTTGGAGGAGCACTAGGCCTGCTCCACCCACGTGCTGGTTGCCAGGCAACGTGCCCGGGAGCCCTACATCCATGTCAGAACCTAAAACCCTTAAACCCTGAAACTTTAAACCCTAAAGGAGGCCAAAATTGGACCCCTCCACGCAAACATCTTTCCCCCCCCAAACTACGCTGTGCCCCCCGTGTGCGAAGGGACTCCCCCGGCGCCTAAGACGCCTCCAACAGCCACGGAGAGCGGCACCAGGGACTCCGTGGGCAAACGCCTCTGGGAGAGGTTGTCAAGTGTAGGGCTCACATGGTTTAGGGTTTACAGTACAGAGTTTATAGGTTTTCTGAGGAACCCTGAATTCCTAAACCCTAAAGTTAAGGGTGAAAGTTCTGAGGTATGGGCCCGAAGGACTGTGGTTGCTGGAGCACGTAGAAGACCAATGGGATGAGGCCACCCACAAGGGCGCCGTACCTGGGCTTCCAGATATCACCGGATTCAGCTTGGGCTTCTGCGAGTCTTGTTTCCCCAACGCAGGGTCGGTGACAAGTGCTGAGACCCTGGCTGGCGCAACCAAAGGATCATGCCTGGATTCAGAGACAGGTAAGCATTGAAAGGCCATTAGAGCTCGAAGTTTAAAAAACGCTTGCCCGTTTAACCTTTGCCAACGAGACCACAGGGAATCCTCTGATCACACAGGTTCCCCTCCCCACAACGAGAAGTTCGACAAGGCGCAGCACCACCATGGCGTCGGGGATACCTCTCGCCTGGCGTGCAATTGCAGGAATCGCAGAGTTTGCGGTCTTTGGAGTCTTTGCAGACTTTCGCGTGTTGGTGAGATACCGCTCAAGACATGTCAGCTGGGCAAGAATGCCATCGTTCGTGGTTGCTGCACCACGGCCTCAGGCCCCCCTTCAATGAATGCCCTGGTCGAACCTCCAACCGGATTCCACCGGTGAGCAGTCTGGGCAGTCGGCGAATGCGCCCATCAGCAGCAGAGTGATGCCTCCTATGAAGGCCTGCAGGTGGCACATGGTGGCACTATGATACTCCTGCAACAGCTGTGCAGAATCCCGACAGTCGGTTGTTCCGCCGTTCCGCCTTCCGTGCGCCCAGTAGCCGCAGCAAAACAGATCGACCTGGGACATGCTGCGAAGTGCAAGCTGAGCAACAACTGACTACGCTAACGCAGCTGATGCTGTGAAGTACGAGACTCTGGAACTTGCTGAGCCGAGACGATATGTGCCCACCTATTTAGGAACGCAAGGAATTCTGGGCCACAAGCGTTGCAGCAGCTCAAGAACACGTGCCTGGCTAAAGAATGAGGGACCCACGAATGAAGATTTGAAGAGCAAGTGTCCAACGAGGGAGGCCATCCCTTCTTCGAGCTGGACGAAGTTTGTTTCGGCCCGCTTGGCATAGGTGCATCTCGAGCGGAGACGCAGCCATTGCAAGAGGTGACTTGGGGCGACCATGAAGTCTGATTGAGTGCAAGTCTATAGAAACTTCAAGACACACACACATACGCATACGCATACACATATATATATATATTTATATTTATACACACACACATATATATATATATACATATACATTATATCCAGATCCATGGGCAAGCGCCTGCGCGGCAGCGGCGACCAGACCGGCGGCAAAAGCCAAAGTGCGATACTCCACAAGCCTCGACTAACATGCACACGCTGGGAATCGTAGGGTTGTAGGGTCGTAGAGGAACTATGCCTTGCGACCTGAGGTCCTTCGGCGAATAACGGCTTAAGCCCTGAAGCTTTGAGCCCACGTCGACACTACCGGGATCCTGGCGTTGCACCAGTGGAGCTTATCGGAGGTCCGAGAAGACGGAGACTGTGCAGCCCGCAAACACGGCCCATGATCTCCTTGCGCCATGCAGGCAACAGGGCTTCAACATCTTTCCCTCGTTCATGAAACCCGGACCCCTGCCCGAAGCGTCTTGCGCCCGGCGCCCTGGAGCGGCTGAACTCCCCTTGCGCTCCTCGAGGACGAAATCGATGCAAAGTCCCATCCACAGCCACTGGCGGTAGCGCATGACCTGCTCTCGGCCTCAGAATCCAAGCAGATAGCCCCCCCCCCCCCCCCAGTAGCATTCTTTGCAATCGAGGCATGCGGCATAGAACCGCCATAGCAATATTGAAATCTTCAATCTTCATCAGTGGTCTACAAGCAAACCTGACCATTTGTGGTCCTGGCATGCCGCAAATCTGGGTGGCACCTTTTGCAAGGCAAGCGCTGGATTCTGGCGGTGATTGGCGGTAGATGCTGTCAGAAATCCTGCCTGACCATCCAGCGCTGCGTCGTCCGCCTGGTCGCCAGCCCATCGCAAGTAGCCACTGGCCTTGGGGCTTCAGACTGTTGAGGGCCTACATATCTGGACCAAAGGTGGAATTGGACATTCCCAGCTCTCTCTGGTCGCAAAGCCGTGATGTATGGCGGCCATCATGCAGTATTTGCGAAAGCTTGCAGACGCTTCCGATAAGGGCTGTGCCATGTTGAACACCCCAAGACAGGCGAAGAAGTAGGCCTGACGCTGTTCTGCACAGTGAGAACCACACCTCTGCACAGAAATCGATGGGCAGCGAGTTCAGCCGGCAGCCTCGTTGGCGCCCTGGAGGATGCTGCGTGCCGCAAGGCAGATGGAAATGCCGGGGATCAAGACGTACAGGACGAAGACGAGAGTGGCCTTTAGTTGCCGCACATCTTGTTACCCATGTAGTAGATTGGTTATAGCTGTCTGTCTTTTACCTTGTCTTGAGGGGGGCCACACAGCCATATCCACTCCCAGTAATGCAGCAAGGCTGCCGGAACGCTCAAGAAGTTCTCCAGGTTCTGCTGCACCTGAGTTTGCTCTGGGCAGCAAGAGCCGGCTCTGCTCATATATGGTCCGAGACCCGCCAGACCTCCAGGAAGAAGAACCGTGTACTAATATATGGAATCCTGGAATCCTCCCTATCCTCCCTTACGCATTCTGCACATATTAGGGCCTTTTGGTAGGGCCTCATTGCGCCCCCGTGGGCTGAGGCACAGACCCAAACTACGGCCAGCACTCCCAGCACCTCCAAGGGGACCAGGGCATTCGAGCTCTGGCCATCAAGAATGTCATATCCGTGCTTTGCGCATGGCTGGTCCTTTTAAAGACTTGTTCCGCAGACCTGTAGTAGTGTACAGGACTCGAAGGCTAGGGCGTATTAGGGGCTGGTTGGCAGTTGATGTGAATGAGGCACAAGACGGCGCCTGGAGGACCAGCGCCACAACGATGATCACCGCCAACGGAATCTCCTGGGCTGTGCTTGTTCCAGTGGCAAGCCCTTAAAGCATGAAATTAGCCCTACATGCTCAACACTCCAAACCCAAGCTCAAGAGCAAGACCCGAGGACGCAGGCGATTACGTACTTTCATCACATTCAATGAGGTAATTGCTGCAGCAATATCTGTCGCTTGGGCTTCTGCCAGGCGTTGTGCCAGGAGCGGGTAGACCTCCACGCGACCATTGCATATTTCCCCCCCCCAACCCGCCCCAGTTCTTGCCGACATCATCCTAATGCCAGAAGGTGGTCAAACTCCAACCGTGCGTCACCGACGCCCCGAAAGTATCCAACAGCCTGCTTCCAGCCTTGGCGAAGACGAAGCGCGCGGCAGACATGAAAATGGGCAGCAGCCTGGCTCCAGCTATTATTGGGCGATTATTGGGTGTCAACCCATCTGCCTGGTCTATCGTTGGAACTCGGTTGCAGCACAGGTTTTTTGCCCCTGGCCATGTTGAGTACCTCTCGAATCTTCTCAGGTGCCGCAAAACTCCCATATACCCTGCTGTAGACTCTGCACTCCCTTGAAAACTCCTTCCACTCCCCAAGTGCCGGACCAGAGGGCCAACAGGCCACCCACGATGATGGGACGCTCCTCCAAGGCCAGAGGCCGGAACACCACCTCTCCGAACGGGCTCTCGACTTATCTAGGCACTGACGTAAATGAAGTTACCATGACAGAAAAGGCACCAGAATTAATGACTTGGCTACGCCAAGGTTCTCCAAAAAGGGCTTCTGGATTCTTGATCAGGAGCTTGAATTAAGTTTACAATAGTAGGGAAGTTAAAAACAAAACTTGAAAAGCACCTTTTGTATGGCGGCAACTTCATCTACGTTGATGAACAAGAACCCAGGATGCGACGATGTCTAGAGCTCAATGTGAGGCAGGTGTTGAGGGTTTGAACTCGGCTGAGGGTTCTGCAGAGACCCATGAAGCACTGAGGCCATGGCCAGCGCTACCTTGACAGGAGTGGCGGCTTCGGCGACCAGGGCATCATCTGGAAAGGAACAAGTTGGTGTGTTCTGCTTCTGCACCATCGGTCTAGGGCAAAACTTCTAGGGTCAGGCTCTTGCGAATTGAATATTGTATGACTCTTTGCCTACCATCCTCTGATTACAGTGTCGGATTATTCGTTGATATCAGACACAGCTGTCCTCCACACTCCCAGGGCTCTGAAACCCCATTGCGTTTTTTCAAGTCACCCTTCCTTCCACGAAACTCATCGAAGCATCGAAGGAAAGTTCAGAATACGTTCAGCGCTCCCACATAAGGCCCGACCTGAGAGCTGCTCGGTGAGGGCGCTGCCTTCTGAGGCGGCATCCTGGCCAGACTTGGGCCCTTCTGATTTGCAAAGTTATTCTGAGTTCCCAGCTCTTAAGGACTTGAGACTCGAAGCTTGCGCCGGTACTTGTGACTGGAGCTGCGCGAGGAGCCGCAGTTGAAACACGACGAAAAGTGTCATCTTCATTTGCGCAATTCCACAGCCATCTGCGCTTTGCCGACAGCCCAGTGTCCGGGAATCTGTTCGGCGTCGTGGAGTTGCATCTAGGTCCCTGAGCTAGCAGCCAGGCATAAGAACCACCTGCGTCAACTTCACCCCTCGACATTCTGCAAGAATCTTGCGATAAAGCCTAGAAGGAACTCCGACCCCCAGAGCTCGGAAGCCCTGAATTCGGAAACCCCCATATCTGAAACCCCTATAAATGCCCGACTCTCCGTCCTTTGAGCTGTTCTTCAAGAGCCGCCCGGCTACTTCCAGAAGGCCGACAACCTTCGGGGAGGGGGCTTGGGAGCTGAGGGGATGGAGGGTCTCAGGGCTTCGAAGCGTAAAGGAGAAGTTCAGACACTCGAACTACCTCCATCGCTCCCCAACAACAGCAACAGAAACGGCAACAAGTATTGAAAAGCAGTAGCAATAACACTAGCACTAGCAACACTAAAAAAAGTACTAACAATAATTGCAAAGCAACGATTTTTGATAAGCATACCATGAATAGCAACGATAACAAAATACAACAATAACAACAGAAAATACGAACAGTAGTGCTAAAGGATCATGATCGAGTTGTTTGCCCTGGGCGCTGGGTCGTTCAAGAGACGTTTGGTGAACTGCGCGAAGGGCAATATGAGCATGTGAAGAAGAGTCTGCAAAGGAAATCGGACACTTTCTAAGGTCTTGAAAGGATTGTGAGGCTTAGCAGGAAGGACATTTTACCCGTACCATCTCTCGGGGTTCAGAGATTGCAAGCTTGGGAATCCAGGAATTTTTGGGGCTTATCCGTTTGAACGACTGAGGTTATCAGGGCCGGCTGTAGGGCCAGGAGGTGTTGGAGGTGACTTCGAGCTTTCTGAGCCAGGCCCACCTGCCCGGCGCTTTTCAGCCCGGTTGCGCGGACGAAGGTTTCCTTCAGCAGTGAGACTTGACAGATGTGTGTACACTACGTCAACAGCTGTGCATACTTGTTCAGATCTTTTTTGCATAACGTCTCAAACTAGTGTGGTACCATGCCACCGTGATGGCGGAGTGAATGAATGACTCAGCCAGCACACAGACTCTGCGCGTTCACTTGTTTTAAGCGTGCTTTGCTTGAATGAAGGAACCCAAGAAAGATGCTTCCAATGGCCTTGGCCAAGGCCCGCGACACGAGAAGCGCCACCCGCCGGGAAGACACAACATCCTGGCTCAAGTTTGCTTAGCCTTCATACTGGATGCTCAAAGTGCGCGTTTAGGGTTCCTGGGGTGTTCAGGGAGCACTTCTTGCAAGTTCCTCTTATGGGCGCACGCGGTCCTGTAAGAACTTAGAGGGAAGCACAGTACCATACATCAAAGCTCCAGCTTACGGCCCCTGTTTTTTTTCAGGCCATGGGACTGCTGCGGGCAAGTATAAGGATGTGGATTTCGTGACGCTTTTGGAGAAGTAACATGAAACTTATCATATCGGGGTAGAAGATCGAACGGCTTGCAAACCCATTTTTTGCATTCAGATTCCCGGAGCCGCTACCTGGTTCAGCAACTGCTGCTGCTGCTGCCGCCGCCGCCCCCACCGCACCGGCATCAGAACCACTACAGCCACTACTGCCATTTCTATATGCTACGAGTATAACAACGCCTCAACCAACACTTCAGTGGCCTCGCCCGCCAGGGCGCCCGTGTTGAGCACTGCACTCTGGTCCTTCACCACGTAGCCTGCCGGGGGCTGCTGGGGTCTAAAGGAAGTTCAATTGCAACCGCTGAGGTGGCCGCATGCATGCGATCAGCAGCATCAGCAGCTAGATGTGGGTTTGCGTGTGTGTGTGTGAACAATCTCTGTAGATCGGTGATTCCAGAATATTCCAAGCACATGCAAGAAAGAAAATAGGGGAGCGTGCATTGTTGAATCCCGGCTGTTGTTCAGACCCGTGGACAAATCATAAGATCACATGCCACTTCACTCATCCATCTCCTACCTCGCTTCGCTCCGCAGTCATTCTCGTGCAATGTGCTCAGACATGCTCACACATGAACATCTACTGGTCCACTGGCACACCAACAAGAAGTGTGCGCGTTTGGGCACTGTACTTGTTCAGGTAGTGCGCTGTCCGTGCTGAGGGTTGTCACATTTGTCGAACCACAACGCGGGTAGATGTAACCGCAAGTCGCATGGACACTGCAGGCTTTTCATGGCAGCACGGCGCAACGCCTTGCTGCGAGCTGGCAGACCCAGTTCCAGCTGCCGGCACCTCAACATGGCCAAAACTCTGAGACTATCTGAAACTACACATGTTTTGCGAGTTAGGGAAGTGTTCTGATCATTGGGTGATCGGCATGGTGACCAGCAACATAAGCTGCACATTTTCGACACGTGGCCCACGCCCAGCTTGGACGCCGCTCCTGACCCCTTCCAAACCCCCACAGATGCCAGGGCGCCGCCGGTGCAGCTGGAGTTCCAGAGCCGCCAGGGACGAGGCAGGTGAGGATCAGGGCCTGCCTGGCAAAGGAAGATAACGGAAGGAATCTGTGTCCTCTGCAATGCAGCGCGTTCGGCTTCCGTGAATATGTGCTTCCGTGATGGAGCCGGTGGCTTACGTTAACCGACCTGCATGAGAACTGCTGGAACGTGTAGTATCACGTCAAAGCATCGCGTTAATTTGCGAGGGCTCCAACAAAACATTGCAAACGACAAAGCATGCCAGAGCGACGTCTCCGGACTGCGCGTGTCGTGACCTTGATGCCAAACTTTGCAACTGAAAGGTTGACACATTACAAAATGCTCGTTGGCTCGATGGAGAGGGGGAATGAGGGTGCGACCCTATACGGTTTCATAATATTTAATATGCCAGCGCTGAATATGTGAGGCAAGGTTCGGGCGACTTGATTCCTAAACCTGCTAGAACACCACAAAGACTCACGCCGGAATCCTTTCCCGCTAACGAGATGCTTTATCTTCATGCTGGCTCCTGCCATCAAACAAGGAGCATGACCGACCACAATTCGGGGCACAAGATGCAGCATGTACAGTCCCGTCGCATCCTCAGCCCAGTGGCCATACAGGTGTGCCACCAGCGCACATCGCCGGATGTTCCTCCAAAGCCTTACGACTTCGCCATGTGACAGCAAAAGCTGACACAAGCTGACTCAAGCAGGGTTGCGAGCATCCGCACTCCCATGCAGCGGCATAAGCATTGAAGGCGAGGGTCTCTCGAAGCAGCACGGTGGAACAGCCGACGACAGGCACCTGCAGAAAACGCTTGGACGGTCGAACTTTGGACCACATGACATGCTGAGCGCATGCTGAGCGCAAGCTGAGCGCCTGCTGGATCAGGAAGTCTGGGAGCTTGGTCCGCCAGGTGTCGTCATCCTCTATCTTCGCCGCCTCGAGCACTGCTGCACGGCCTGGCATTCTCCGGGGCAAAACTGACAAGTCGGTGGAGGTCAATTTTCCTTTGCACAGAGCCGATGTCACCATCATCCACCCTACTCAACTGTCTCTCGAGAAACGTTGCACCCAGCACCGACGTTGCAAGATACGCAGCAGTCCTTGAATTTGCTAGAGTCTGCTAGAGACTTGAAGGTCTACGCATGGTACCCATCGCAACAACTCTTGTTGACTCAGCAGTGGTTGGCTGCCGCCTCCTATGCCAGCAAAACTCTGCGCTCGCACAGACTCCTAGACGACAGCCAGAAAACGGACACGTTTAAGGGCGTCAGCATGGCGGTCCCCATGGTGGGCATGCAAGAGTTCCTCTGCCTGCTCCTCAGCGCCAAGGACGCGAGGAAGCTCTGACAATCCCAGCTACAGCTGTCGAGCCCCCAAATGCATAAGTCTAGTTGAGACTACACTTGGCCGAGCCTGCCAAAACTTCGCACGACTCATTCGACTAATCCACAAATTTCAACACATAGAAGCAATACCATCAGCAAAGTCTCTGCCACGGAGGGAATCCGCACCGATGGCAGGCGCACGCCCGCGGTGGCCTACTCTGCCCAGGCTTTGCAGAACCCTACAGACTCTCAACTGAGAAGGTTCAATGCAGGGGTTGAAACAGCTGGGGGCTACCACGATGTTCGGCTTCAACGGGCTATGACATTTTCAGTTTTGTTGCATCTTCCACATCTCCCATTGGGTGCCCGTGGTGGCGTTGTCATGGCAATGGCTTGATGGGGTGTCGTCTTCTACTGAGATCGACAATCAGTTGTTTACGGACTCTGCTCAATCATATGGTCAATGGCTTCTGTGCCCGGTCCCACGATGTCCCACGTGCATGCCAAGCACAGGCGGCACCCACCCTTCCTTTCGGAACCCAACATGACACCAGGCCTGGTCGATGGTGAAAGCAAGGACCGACTCCAATTTCTTGGAGAAGTCCTCTGGCGGTTGCTTGTGTTCGGACAAATCTACGCAATGCAAACCCACTCGGACAAGGCTTGGAGAGGATGTCGGCATGCATGTCAACATCTATGAGCCTATGTATGGCAAAGCAACCCAGTTTGAGAAGCCTTTAACACAAGGGTAATGAACATGTAACATGCACCGTTCGCTGATGTCCTCAAGCCGCTAATCTCCCGAAAGGCAAGCCGAGCCCTCTGACCCCAAGCCTCCATAGACTCCGCCGAGTTGACGTCGGCCGCCGGCATAGCCTAAACTGAAACTCGGAGCTCAAGGTTCCCAAAACTTTACGATCATGCCCCAACACGGCAGCAGCAACCTAGAACCACAAACCTCCAACACTCCCAACGCCACATACGCCACCGTGCACCCGAATAAGCCCTAAGCCGTCTCTGCAGCCCTACACGAGGAGAATTTGCAGTTTGAGGCGCCGTGGTGAGCTGCAGCGGGCCGAGGCTCGGGGACTCATCGTTGACCCCTACGCTCACCTCCACCTTTTCGGGAGACTCAACGAAGGACTGAGTTTGGAGGGTTTGGAAACGATTGAAACTTGAACTGGGGATGCTTGAGAGGGGTTGAGGAGCATCTTGTTGAAGCTGTTTTTGGTGTCTGCCGCAACCTCGTGGCCACCATCTTCATCTGTAAGGGTGGACATTGGCTCGGACTTCTCGGACCACTTCGTGACCTGAACCGACAGGAAAACAAGACATATGGTTTACATGGATTCCGAGATATTCCGAGTCTAACCTGCATGATATATATATATATAATATGTATGACACATCTGCAGCCCAGCCACACCACCGCCGGACGTGATCCCCCTGCGCAACGGCAGCATGCCCAACACAAATCGCGGCTTGGTGCTATACGATCCGATAAAGGTCAACCCTATCGTTTACAATGTCTGGTGGCCTGGCAGGCTGCTTGATGATTGGATCTTCAGCAATCGTCGTTTTTTTTGCAGATGCCTCGTCTGCAGAGTGTAGGTCGTTCCCCTCTGCAGCTGGTCGACCGTCACCACCTTGCGGTGGAGAGAGCCGACTCTACGAGCCCGCGACAACTCCAAGAACTGGACTCTTGTAGACTCTGGGGTCCATGCAGTCTAAAACCCTTTGAACCTTAAGAAACCTCCAAGACGCAAGGCTCTCTGCAAAGCTCTGGGTTCGCTGGCCCATCGGTTCTCCGAGGTCACCCGGACGGCCAGGGACTGGGCATCAAACCGCAAGGGCCTCGTGGGCCGGCCTCTCCAGCCTTCTGCAGGTTTTGGAGGTTTTCTGAGGATGTTCTACGGGCTTTTCTCGGGGCTTAAAGGAAGTTTGGGGTCCAAGGCGCAGTGCAAGGGCAGGACTTTTTGGTATTTTCTATAGGGGGGGGATCCGGCCGATCAGCTTGCACATCCGGAGCCTACGACAACAATTTAAGTCGAAACGAATGCACCTCGGAAATTATCAACAAAGGAATGCAACTTTGGGGAAGTTAGTGTTGGCATCTCGCCTTGTCAGGGCACCTACCTTGCAGGTAGTGCAAGCTTCTGTGTCTCCAAGACTCTGACCGAAAGGCTTACACGACTTGACACGTGCCCAGCCTTCATGTCGCCTCACTTCGTAAGCGATTATTCGACCGTCCTCCGGCCGTGGTGGAGGCAAGAGCAGCAAGGGGGAAGAAGGATCCCACGCTGCTCTCAATTAGGTGCATGTTTGTTTGGTTCTTGCAGGTCAAAAGCATTCACAGTCGCTGTTGCAGGATCCCTCCTCCTATATGCCGTCGTTAGGAATCCAAGACCGAACCGGGAAACACTCAAACTCCACTACCCTTGAGAACGAATGCCCATTTCGTGGTCCTAAATTTCTAGAGTCCTCAACGCCAGGGAAGGCAAAGGTCAGCGCCCGCGACGTGGCGTAAACCAGCTCGGGCGCTGTGGGCTCCTGTGGCAGAGCCACAAGGTAGAGCACGGATGTACGGATAGAGGCAGAAAACCATATCAGTCACGAACAGCTCCGAGCCTGGGCGACCACGGCTGTGCAGACCGGATTTTCTCCGATTCGGGACCAGTCTCCCCAGCCACTTGCACTCTGTGATCGGATTTCGACGACCTGAACATCAATCAAAACGTTCTTGGAAAGCTAGGTTGGGTCTCTGGGGACACCTCGAGACCTTGGCAAACAAGGCCAAACGCAGGCCGAGCGGGACATGACATGAAACACCTCGAGTTCGGTCTGGATCATGGGGCTGCACCTGATGCTTAGTCCCTGGCGTACAGCTTCTCGGGCTCCAGATCCTTCACCGAGAATTGGAAACGCCCACCCTCTGCAACGGGAAGCGTCTCCACCTGCTGTCAAGTGTGCTTTGAACCGATACAATCGGAAACCCACTTTCGCAAGGAGCTTAGCCTGACGTGCATGAGCAAACCTTGGGGGCCCATGGCAATGCATCATGCACCCCTCAGTGTGGGTGTCCGAGATGTGAAGGCAGATAGCCGAGCGCTGGATTCACAACTTTTCGGGCATGTACTTGCGCAATTCTCTGAATCAGGACTCGTGACCAGCGTAACACGCACTTGCACACATCCCACTGTGTCCCGCCATGTCTGAACCAGCAAGCATGCCCCCCTCCCTCCCCCCCCACTCGATGCCTCTACGGTTTCGGGGGTGCGCCACTGTGGTCCCCGCCAGGTAGCCCAAGCAGCTGCCCGCAGAGCGTAGGCGCACACGTGGAGGTCCTACAAGAAGGGCGGGAGATGGCGGAAGAGTCGGAGGTCTGACCAAAACACAGCCAAGACCGAAGCCTCCACAACAGCATGCAAGCCATGTTTCTCCCTTTTCTCCCGTCTCCCCAAAACTTGCACCTCCAAGGACTTTGTGAGGCAAAGGCGGTCACAAATGCCCGCGGTGATGCCTTGAATCACTGAGCCATTTGGGAAGAAATGTAGGCTTCTGGGTTCAGGAGTGGAATGGATCAGCATTCCAGCAGGAGCCGAGGTGAGGCACCGTGCCTCGCAAGGCTCCGCGTTGTGCGGGCTGCTTCCAGGGCTGGGAAAACGGTCCATGGGTCCATGGATTGTGGGGCAATTCGGAGGTGGCCATTGCTGCTTCTGGTATTCAAGTGCAGCTTCGGTGCCAGGCTTCAGTTGCACGTGCTCCCATGAGATCTGGATTTGATCGTGCTGCACCTGGCACGACGGGTCGGGAGTGACGGTGCACAACCAGAACATGGAAACACATCAGACGCTCCCATTCGGGGTTCCTGATACTTAGACTGCAATCGCAGATGGCACCGAGCCTACAGGCTTCAGAACCACACCAAGAACGAACGCAGAGCACGTCGCCATGTTGCCCCGAGGCAGCCCAACAGGATTCCTAACACAAGTTACACAACGGTCGTCAGCTACTCTGACAATGCTCCCAAGACTGCAGCCCCCAATTGCAGAAGCTGAACAAGGGCATGTCGAGGCGAGGATATTCTATCACGAGCAAGCCAAGCATGACAGACAGCCTAGGGTGGGCCTCATCCACCTGCGCACGGTCCACCAGAGGGGCCACGGGAAGCATGACCACCTGAACTTTGACAAGTCTACATTGCACAGACCTGCGGCAGGGCCAGCGTCTGCACAATCGTTTGGACTTTGCAGGACGAATCTTGGTTTCGTGCTTGCTTGCGAAATGCTTGCGGAATCTGTGTGAACCGCTTGATTCCAACGTTCGGTTTCTAATTATACTATTACATATATTTAGAAAATTATATATACATATTCAAAACTGCTTAGACTGCTTAGACTGCTTCGACCCCAAACTTGAGACTTGAGATGCACAACTTTTTTTAAATCGGAGTGCGGTCTGTGGCCGCCTATAATCATCTTAGAATAGAACTTTCTTAGCTTCTCCTTGCTTTCCTGCCAAAGCTGGCCTCGACCGAGAGTGGTGACCAATCTCCCTGGCCACTGGCTGCCACAGACGCGACCTCAAACAGCCACGCAGAAATCCCTGATGTCATCTGCCAAGATGCAGGGATCCACGTTCATTCCAAATGCAGGGTGAGCTACAGTTGGAAGTTTTCATGAGTTTCTCGGCCAAACAATCACAAGTACCGAACTGCCAAAGCCAGTGCAAATGCCGCCCATGCATGAGCAGTGCCCGCCCACGGCCTGGCAGCTGTAGCGTTGATCCTCGGGCAGACCGGAAGTTCCATGCACATCGAAGCTGGCATGAAGCTCAGAAAACGTTCGAGCAGCTTATCATGTGGTGATGATTGCGTCTCGTCTGGTTTAGGGACTGCTGCAGCTCCTACTCAGGTCCTACTCCGACGACGACGACGGCGACGAGGACGGCGACGAGGACGAGGACGAGGACGAGGACGAGGACGAGGACGAGGACGAGGACGAGGACGAGGACGAGGACGAGGACGAGGACGACCACGACCACGACCACGACCACGACCACGACCACGACCACGACCACGACCACGACCACGACCACGACCACGACCACGACCAGCAGCAGCGGCAGCAGCAGCAGCAGCAGCAGCAGCAGCAGCAGCAGCAGCAGCAGCAGCAGCAGCAGCACGGATGTAACCTTACCAATCCTGCCAAATCTGTAGTGAAAGCATGACTTTAGGATGTCATATATAAGCAGGGGCAAGATACCTTGAGAATTTGTTTGATGTCGCAGCATGACAGTGTGAATGACAGCCGTGTCACACGCTAGGTGGTAAACACGAAAAGCAACGTGAGCCACTCCAGCAGCCTAATTACGAAGTTTCGCAAATATAGATGTACCACTTGATCTCTTTCCCATAAGAGAATGAGCGATGAGACTTTGTAAAGTGTTTATGCACTGGCAAACGAAGCTCAGCTGTGAGAGATGTCCAAGAGTTCGAAACATGTTGCCGCAATGCTGTGCAATTTTTGTCAGCGGTTCATCTGTCTCGATATATGGATTTCACCGACATTTGCTTTACATGTTCACATTGCTGGGTAGTCCAAAGCACCGAAACAGGCCATTCACAAAGCAAACAAAGCCCATCCTACGATACCCAGCCAAATAATGCATGGTCGTGTTGCGCAAACCCAGACCCCAAGACACCGAACCGGCAATTGCTTCGGAGGTTCTGGAAGAAGGCCCGGCACCACGGAAACAAACTGGTAGCGACCGCTTGCACCTGTCTGGCGGGGGCATTTTTTCTTGATACCCGGGTACAGGGGGTTGGGTAAATCATGGATGTCAAGGTAGGGCTATGACATCGGCTCGGAATTTGCGATGTCGGAGTTCTAATTTTGCATGTCGGCCCAGTGATGCATCCGTGCTTCTATATTCTTTACACTTGTATGAAGAACCATCTACCTGCAAGTATGCATTCATAAGATACTAGTTAGTGTGTGTATATATATATATGTATATTCTCGCGTCCACCGTAGTACTGGCTTCAAGAAACATAATTTTGGCAGGCGCTCATATTAATATGTATGTTCACATACATGTAAAAAACATACGAAACCAATATAAACATGTATGTATGTTGTGATATGATGTGGTATCTCCCTTCTTCCAGGCTACAGTGTCTACAGTAAAAGAAGGATCCTCCAGGTAAGGTCAGACGTCTAGCATCGTTCTCATGACAACTGTTGCCAAAGCCACACCACTGCTCAAGCGCCGATTTCCGATTTCTGTGAAGGTGCAAAGCCCAGATGAACAAACTGCCTACCGTTTTTGAAACTGCGAAGGGACACAACAGTGCGGGCCTTAACGCTGTAAACCTGTACATGGGAGATCTTGGAGTTTCAGAGCGCGCAATCCTCTGAACAGCTGTAGAACAACCTCTATGAAGGCCCTTTCGACTTCACTCAACATCGGCCTCTTCACCCTCTCTCTGCCTTCAGCCAAGACCCACGCCAAACACAAACCCCGGAGCGTCATTGAACACCTTTTGAACACCTTTGAAAACATGGACCCGGCCTTCACAGAAGAAAGGCCCAGTCGTCAAGGAAGCGTTTTCTTCTGGCGAGGGCATGAGGCTGGGACCCCCAAATCAAGGCGCTGGGTCACAGAAATGTCGGGTTGAAGGCTTAAGGCCTACGGTGGTGCACATTGCCAGACATGGTCGTTTCAGGACGTGATGGCGTTGGGACTGCGAAAACGCCGTACAGGGTCTGAGCGGGTGCTGGACCCACCTTATGGGGGCAGGAGTCTTTACGGGCGAGCTGCCAGCTGCAACTCTTCAAGGGTGCGGCTGGCCATAAGTGTTCGTTGTGTGCAGCACATCGATGTTTCCAACCCCCCCCCCGCCCGTGAATTTAAGCCGTTGCGGCTTACATTCCCACTAAATCCAGAATGATGCTGCAGATCCAGCAGTCTAAACCTACAGGATTCCGTGGCCACAGACCTCGCATGAAAGCTAATGAAACTGGCTTCAGCCGTCTGCCAGGCCAAGCAATGTTGAAGCCAGAGTCACCGGAAGACAAGGGGAGCTGCTGCCTAACGCTCCTCTAAGTCTACTGAGATCTTGATGAGGCTCCTGAATTGGTTAGGGGGGGAGGCCCTTTCTGTCAGGAGTTCCGTTGTCCAAAAGACATCCTAAAAATCGGTCCCTTCCCTTCCTCTTCCCTTCCCTTCCTCTTCCCCCTACTTAAACTGGGCATCCTCGGGTCAGAGCTCTGGGCCCTCTGAATTCAACACCTAGGCAGCTGACTTAGGAATCCTCAACCGTAAACTCAACAATTACCCTACTCAAAGATAAAAACCTTGTATGCACATGTCTACCGTTCAAGTGCTAACACCGTAAACCCGAAGAGAAGCCAAAAAAAATGAAAAGCACGGCAAGTCAAGGGCTTTCTGGGTGTGCCTTTGACAGCCCCCCAGGTCTCTGCAAAAGTCTCGGCCTGGCCCATGTGTCACAGAAGGCAGGAAAATGGTTCATAGTTCAGGGGTAATGTGGGGGGGGGGGGGGGGGGGGGGGGCCCAAGAATAAGAACTGCTAGCAAAAGCCAGTGAAAGCACATGAGGGATCCACGCAGCGATCACTGAGCTATCAACGTTATCAACCATGCAAAAGAGGACATCGCTGAATCAAGGGCCGATGTCAAACAACCATAAAACAGCAACCTGCTCAGGCCGCCTTCTGCAGCACCACGCGATGCGTGCGCGCCTGGCTCTGACTGCAACTTGCAAGCACAATCCCAGCGTGCTGCAAGTAGTGCGCTGCAAGTAACACGGAAGACATCAGGCTTCGCGCATGTGCCGCGTGACACCTAGTGGTGCTGTTCCCCTCCACTAACCTCATGGGTTGTGCTTTGCTCGAGGTATTTAATGTGTTGGACAGAACCTTGTGGACCATATGTACTCTAAAAAAGTCTTCGTAACCATTTCTGAATGACCCATATTTTAAGAGACGCTCAAATGTCTCATAAAATGCTGCTTTGCCGTGTCAGAGCACAGCCTATGTGCACGGTGGCCTCAAGAAGCCATGCAACTGTCTGATGTAGCATATGCTGAATGTTGCTACGATCCCCCTGCCTGGCTCAGATGTGTGTTGAACAATTGAAGTAAGGGATGTGGCATGTGTATACATGATTATACATGTACCTTTGTTGCATTTCTGATAAGTATTAGGAAAAACTCAGGCCTGTTTTGCTGTACATATGTCTGTATAAAATTTGAAAATGCGCATTATACTACATGTACGTATACGCAGCCTATACGTATTTATGCGTACCGGGAGAGGATGTTGTGTCGACAGTCTGTAACACGTCAAGCGTTTAGTGCCTGATGAATTCGTCTTCGGGACTTCGGCCTCAGACCCCATACACTCCTTTGTGGATCAGTTTCAGGGACCCAGGGCTGCAGCTTCTTGTGTGGCGGGCATAGGGCTTATGAAGATCCAGGTTTGACAGGAAGAAGTCAATGGAGACAAATGGGTTCGAGCTGGGCTTCTGTTGCGACCTCTGCAGTCGTCTGCCTGCCTGCACTTGCCCATATGCAGCTAGACAGATGTCTGACTTATGCCTAAATATTCTATAGGCTTAGGCTGCTACGCCATGGCCGCTATGGCCGAGAAACCTCGGGAATAACGCTCGTCTACTGCCCACACAGGCCAACAAAGCAGAGAACTTATTATGATCATCCAGTTGCGGTAGGGAATCCAAACTAGCACTGGAGTATCTGAGACTACACCAGGGGTTACGGGTCATGGATTGCGTGGAAGCGGCAAACCTTGACGCGCAACGGGCAGCTTGGGTGGGAGCGTGGCGTGCTATACATATATTGGGTGGGGAGCACACGCACGCAAGTATGCTTGGATTTAGATTGGGGGGGGGGGTGCGGGGGTGGGGGTTGTTAATTGAATCTATCTATGTATTGCAACACACAGATGTTTTGTGTAAAACGTTGTTTATCCGCAACACTTTGTCGTATGCCTTGAAACCCAGCGCATATTCGAGCAACTGGGCCGTTTATGTTTGCGGCGGTTCTGTTGAGGTTTTGCCGCGTCTCCCCATGACGCAGGTCCTGTATCACATCAAGCGTTTTGTTTTTTTTCTGCGTGCGTGATGATACCTCATTCGGCTGTTTGGGGCTGTGGAGATATCAGCAGGCCTGTATGACATGATTAGGTCGTGAACGAATCGAAACTGCAAGAAATGTGAACATCCGGACCAAGCTCTCAGGACAGGCTGGGATGCGCGCGTCGGGAAAAAACGCGCGTCGAAAAACGACGAATGCTAGATAAAATCCCCGAAATGCTAGTTAAGACGCGTCGAAATGCGTCGCTTTCTGAGCGCCCTCCAAACTGAAACGCCGAACGTCTCAGAAAACGCCGAACGTCGCCTAAAATGCCGAACGTCTCCTAAATTGTCATACGTCTCCGACAGCACCGAAGGTCTCACTAATTCTCTCTACAAAGACCGGAACATCTACAAAGCGCCACGCGTTACCGCAAGTTCCGAGCATTGGTGGCATTAAGGACCTGCAATCCACAGTTCTAGCACAGCGAAGATTTGTGTATATATATATATATATACACATATGTTTTGTTTTTTTTGTAATTCGTGTTCAACGGGCTTGGATCTTGAGTTCAAGAAGCCTCAGCTGAAAGCTCCGAGCGCGGGTGTTTGCTTCCTGCTAGTTAAGGGCTTAGGGCGCTGATTGACGGGAACTGGGTTCAAAAGCAGAGGGGCGTGGGACGCCAAAACCAGCGAGGTACAGTCCACAACCCAGAACCTAAACCTCAACCTTTGAATCCAAACCCATGTCCTTGTTTGCGCACACTAACATTTCCAAATGCGCAAGCCCTGCTGCCTAAGCTTTTGGATTCGTGTTTAATAAGACACACGCAGAATTTGTGGTTCACTGAAAACTACAAAACGCTGTAGCTCAGGACCGCAAATCCCAAACACTTCCTCTACAGACTTCCCGGCGTACACACATACGCCCGAGAACTACCCACAGAAAAATGAATTAAGAAAAGACATCCGCTCATGTTCTCTCAAGCAGCTCAAGCGACTCCAGTTTACATGGCGGCGCTGCCAACACAACCATTCACATATTAGCAACCATCTGACGGTGACCTTTTCGTTGCTTTGTACTCCTGTGGCGGCCAACGCAATGCATTTTGCTTTGCAGCTGCTTTGGTGCCAGGTTCTGTTCCAACACAGGTTCCAACATAAAAATCGGTAGTTTTGAATCCAAAACTTTTGCTCGAGTATGCTATTCTTCTGTATAAGTTCCAACGGGGCAAGCGTTGCTGAACCATTCGGCACTTATACTGGAAATCCAGCTGCTAGCTTGTGTCCTATAACAATTCAAAAGTCTCTTGAGGTGCGTCCCATAACCTGTTTTATTGATCGTTTGAGGATGTAGAAAAAGTTGAAGGGGCATTTCGCAACATGTTCAGAAGGCGCACGCGGCTTGATATTTCCTGGTGGACCATACGTGTTCTGTGTCCCCGAGCTGCGTGCTGCAACGCACCAGCATGCTCAGTAGACCTTCCAACATACTTCCTGTTTGGCGCACTTGTTGCGCTGCTGGATCGTGAACAATTGTCCCACCTGCTGAATGGCCTATAAAATGCCGAATGTCTCTCACGGCTGCTTCCTTCATGTGTTTAACGTGCGTTTGGCGATGGAAGCCATTTTTAAGAGACGTTTCGTCCACAAGGAAATGGGGCCTCACAACACTGACGCTGCCTCTTTCCCAATGTCTAGCACCGCGCATGCACTACACGAGACGCTGGACCTCATCCTTCGACATTCCTAGCCCGGACAATTCTACTAAGAGCTCGCGTGGCATTGTTAGCCCAAGACGAATATACACCTTGCGGGTCCAGCGGGAATGAGCTAATGCGCCCGCAAACGAACCTGCGCCGTGCGGTTGCCAATTGCAGGGGAAACCTGGGCACAGTTCACCCAGCGACGCCATCTCCGGCTGCGGGTATCATGTTGCCAGTTGTGAGGGAGTGCAGCTGCCAGGGTGTTGCAGTGAACTCCACTCTATTCCGCCCTCAACCTTCGAGCACGGTCTCCTCCACCAAACACCTCAAGCCCAGAACCCTCAACCTTGATGTCACTCCTGCGAACACCTTACGAGCATCTTCACCTCTAAAGCCTCTACTCTTAAACCCCTGAACAAGCATCCTCAAACCTCTCAGGCGGCCTTGACCAGGAACTCCCTGATCTCCTCGTCGTGGACCTCGCCACTGAGCGTCTCCGGATCTGGCTCCTCACTGCATGGCGCTGCAAGGGGCCCATGGGGTTGAGCAATGGGTGGCCTTCATGGACTTAGCTTTAGCTTTCGAGTCTGTCGGGGCATTTGCTGTTGCCTCAGTGCGCTTGGCGGGCATGGGGCTTCCTCTACGCTACACAACAAAAGAATTAGGAGTTCGGAGTGAGTGCCTGTCTGTGTGTGTGTGTGCACGTGTGTCGCACCACCCTCGAACACCTTCCGTAAAGACTCTGAATCCTTGGAGAAACCTCTACAAATAGGCAGCATGTCTGACTATTGAGATATGCCTGGTTTCAGTGACGCACGTGGGAATTCGAAAGAGCACATGCCCATTTGCGCAAAAGGGTCAGTGGACATTTGTTCAAAGAGGGCGTGGACAGTGCTCGCTTAGCAGCAGCACAGCATGCGAGGGGTTTTGTATGCTCAAGCTGCTGGTCCGGCCCAGCCTCCCGGTTCCATCCAAGCACTAACCTGATCCGCATCAATGCAAAGCACACGGGCAAGAAAGATGGCCAGTTTGCAGGTCGAATAAGCCCCTGGAACCATAGTGAAACTAGTCAAAGTCCGGAACGTGAGCTTGATGAACAAAACAGCCCGACAACAGATTTCAGAACTTCGAAGCCTGAGCGCACCGGCCCCCTAGCCACCCGACAAATGTGCATCCCTTCTCGCGCCCTCTTTTTGCTTTGCTGCGTTACAGACTGAATAGTGAAGAGTCTACCGTAGACTGGACTCGACACCAGCCCCAAACCTGCCCAACATTCCCCGGATGTCACCCAGTCTTCATCCCGGGCACGTGTCGTGTGTCCGCAGCAGGCTCTGTGGTGGCGCCAAGCGAGGTGCCAAGCGCCAAGTCGCGAGCTTCTCGCTCCTAGGGGAGCTTTAAAAAGAGCTTGCGCTTGCATTTGCTGCATGGGTTGGAGGGCGGAGCAGCAGGACTTCGAAGAACTGTCGCTGAACCCATAGGGAGCCCACTGCAGTACAACGGGTGGAGTGCCTATCAAATACTTACCCTCGTTGGCACTACTTGCAGATGAGAACTCTTCACCACAAGCTGTCATGAACGATCAGACAAGAGAGACACGCATACACAAACACCCGAAACAAATCCGAAAGAAAGGTCTCAACATAACGTCATCTCTCAATGCGTGCCACGGCCACAGTACATACCGTAAGTTTGAATCAAAGCGGCGGTTCGGACCATGGCCCTCTCCCGGCTGCAGTCTGGGCGGCTACTTGAACCACATACCTTGGGCCGCCATGAGGTTTCTAGGCGCGTCAAGCCTCCGAAGAACTACTATAGAAAACAATTTGAATTTTTGAATATACTTGGACTTAATCTTGAGATAGATTTTTTCGATAACACGAACCAATTCCGAAATTACAAAAAAACCTACTGTATAATTAAAATTCCTGGCTCGATCCAAGATGCTGGCGCTCTGGTAACAGGCCCCTCAGCGCAAAGCGAAGCAGCTCGGTGCTCGCACACTCCTCTCGGCAGGCTGTTGATGCTCGTAACAATGCTTCCCATCTATGTTGGCCAAGGTTTGTCTGTGGCACGCTCTTGAGAACCCTGTTGCCCTGTGATTTCAAAACAAAGGTCGGCCGTCCTCAAGCAGCTCCACGTTTTCCTCAAGAGCATTCTGAATCGCAAGGGGTTTTATGTAGAACCGAAGATTTGACCAAGCCACGACGAGCCAAGTACTAAGGCCCACACCACGGTAACCCAGGAGCCATTGGGAGCGTAGCTGCGGGCGCCTTGCTGAGGGCATACGAGTCGAAAAGGACGAAAAGCTCCGCAAGCCCAACTGCGCTCAACACCGGGGCCTGATTCTGGAGATGGCCATTGTCAAAACAGGACCGTGACCACCCCAACGGTGAACAGCTTTCTACGGATTTGCGAGTGCCGACAGAGCACCACAGCATGTTCATCGCTGTACATGCCAACTGCACGAAGTCGGATGTATATATATATATATACACACATAGAAATGGAGTAATTATAGAGGCTGCTCAATGTCAAACCTTTCCAAATCAAAATCAGCGAGTCCTACGACATCCCACGCCCAAAACCCTCTGCTCCCAGAGTCCTAGAATCCCAGAACTCGCCACACCTCTGCTTTCCGAGCCGAAGTGCACTCGTAGTACCGCGCGCTGTAACCTTTCACGTCGCTGGCTTCGCCACGAGACCAGTCGGGCACCGCGCCTCAACAGAAGAGTTCTTGTAAGGTCTCACGGTCTCTTTGTGCAAGAGATTAAGATTGCAAGTCCCCATGGCGAGGCCGCGGCCTGCGCACTCCAGTATGAGGTGGTCATGGTATGCATGAACCACGCGAGCGCGGATCGCCTCGGCACTGGATATGAGCAGGTGCAATGCATGTTGGAAGCTGCTCTTACTGCATCAGCTGCTTCACTTGCGTACCACAAGCATGCACTTTTGCCCACACATTGCTGGAAAGTCTCCCCCATGACTGGAGCCACAGGCCGCGTCTTCAACCTCACCGTCGCCAAGCACACGAACTAGACCGAACCGCTACACCTCTACTTGAAGTGTTGAAAGCGCACTTCATTGCTGTCCAGTTGGTCTTTTTGCAAGGGCACTCAATACACTGCACATCAGCCTGGCCGAGGGGCGTGACTGCCTCGCTCCGCTCGCCTTCCCCTCGAACTGTCAATGCGGACACCTGAGGTGGGGTTCCCTGTTCATTGGGCTTGCTGCAGAGCATCGAAAACCATCGAAAAGCATGTTGACAGAATGCCGTGCTTGTTCAACCGCAAGTGCAAGCCTGAAAAAGCAGAGTGAGTAACGCTCATGCCCAGAGATGAGCATCCCGGCAGCTTTGCATGATTCTAGACTTATCTAGAGTAAGTCCGCACTTTACGTCTGGCAATGCCGGCCAAAGCCAAGCTTCTGGTCACATGCGACTTCGATTCACTCAAGCCACAGCTGAAGACAAGCCCTGACTGCCACGCCGCTTGCTCACTGCACATGCAAGTACCCTGCCCCACAACTGTTGGTGCGACCCATCGTTACCTTTACACGGCCCGGCGATGATGAAGATCTGCCAATCCCGAACCTGAAGCCCCAAACCCCAAGCACCCCCTACGCCCTACGCCACAAGAGCAGCAGCCTAGACACGCTGGCTCCTTCTCTCCACCAAGGTGCCTGAACCGCGTAGGAGGTGCCTGGCACTAAGTCCCGCAGCTCCATGCGCGTGATGAGGCCATCCTTCTCCTGCCCGGAATGGGGAACCAAAAGAATCCCACAAGGCACAGGGGGGAGTGTCTTTGAGACTTGTTGAGATGCTGGACCAAATCACCAAAGAACAGGTCCTCCTTCCAGATGCGCCCTTAGATGAGTGTGGGGTCTGGGCCTCGTTTTGACATGGTCTTAGGGTATATACTTCTTTGTTGGGCTATGCGATTCGACTGAGCAAGGAATCAAGATCATCTTTTGCCCCGATCACAAGCTGCGTCCTGGGTTTCCCTTCTATCGATACTTGGCTTGTTACAACTTTAATGTGTGAGTAGGCAGGGTACATGTTCATGCCTCTGTTTCATTCCCTTCTCTCCCGCTCTCCCTCCCTCTTTCTCCCTCATGTTTATATATATATATATATATATTCTCTCTCTCGCTCTCCTGCTTAGGGGTTCAACAATAAAAACAGAGACAGTTACAGTTGGCATTTCACTGCTGACTAGCAAGCCACCATCTGCTAGAAGGGACCAAGAACGGGATGTTATTGAAAGACTTTCAAGATGCTCTGTGCTGCGTCAAGTGGATTTCTGGATGCTTGAGTCAGGACCTCGAGGTCTTGTTCGCTCCGGCGCTTGTTTCCGCAGAGCTTTGGGTGGCAGGGCTGAAGGCTTAAGATGAGGGTCTGTGAGTCTTTTGCTTCCCTGGCAGCATGGTTAGATTTTGCTTTTCATTGATTCATTGATTGAGGGAGCGGGGCTCCGGCCACAAACGGGGAAACATCCTCCTACCGTCCTGCAATGTTTCGAGCTTTGTGGCTCTTAAGCTGAGGACTCTAAGTGAATTGCCGAGAGTCCCGACATCTCTTCTGCCTCAGCTTGCGGCAAACAACGGTGATTGAGGAACTGTCTACAGATGGGCGCTTGCACTCGTCATTGACAGGGTGACAACCATTCCGATAATCTGCAACATGCAACCATCTCAAAACTCTGAAGCCTGCAGCTGCAACACCAGCCTGAACGCTGAATCGCGCCAAACATGCTGCCCATCATACAACCCTAAACCATAAACCAACACGTTTCCCCAACTTCTCCTCCATTCGCCCCCGCGTCCACCTGAATTGCCAGTCCAAGTGCCGATGCGCTCGGCGAGCCCGCCGCAGTTGCTGGGAAACCCTGCCTTAGACTGGAGAGCTGCTTTTGCGATTAGAGGGCTAACTTGGGGCTGGGTTTAGTCCAGGGGTTTTTTGGCTCTTGCATTGCAGTTGGGCACTCCAGGGATTCTCCGCGCATAGTCTGAAATTTGAGCACTGAAGGGATTCTCAATATTCGCAGTTGGGCAATGCAGGGATACACTGGGGTTGGGCGCGGAATGCTGGTCTAGTTGAGCCCTGTGGGATACGCGAGGAGTCGACCGGGCGAGGAGAAGAGTCCCACCCCGAGGGTGGGGAAAAGACAACAAGGAAGCCCTAGAACTCAATTTTCTAAGATCGCGAGTCCCAGCAACAACCGCAGCTCGAAGTCCCGCGAGGCACCGCGGCCGCGCTCACGGGTCTGGTCCACGGGGGGACGGGGGGGGGGGGGGGCTTCGGGTTTGGCTTATTGCAGGGCTTTGAGGCCGGGGTTAGAGTTCTTTGGCGGAATCTCTCGGCATAAGGGTGAGGCCGCGGGTTGGCTTCCGAAATTCCAGGGTGCAAAGGATATACAAGATAATTGACGTCAGCTGCGTTTTGTTTTACAGCTTAATTGACGGGATCAGCAACGGTCGGCGCTGAGGATTGGGGTTCAGGATTTTTTTCTGGTTTTCGACTTGACTTGATGGATCTGCATCTCATTCCTATGGACTCCACTTCAGGGCCCGGAGATCTTCTTGCCAACCAATGTTCCACATGTTCGTGCCCTCTCTTCAATTCCCAACACCTATCCAGGAGGTCGTGGATCGTAGGGCAATATACACTTCATGCACACCAGAACGACCAGGCTCATGACAGTGTGTGTGTGTGTGTGCATGGCGATTGAGTCATATTAAGGGTTCTTAAAGGAGGTGGCGTTACGGGTACCCTTCGGCAGCACTACAGTAGGGAGAATTTGAGCTATCGGCTATCTCCCCTCCCTCTTGGACCCTCTTCCCCCCCAAGGACCTGATAAATCAGAGACTTGGAAGCCTGAGAAAAGGCTGCTAATGGTGCGCCTTGGTGAGGTGAACTTTGTATCCACACACGGGCGCACCTGCACAATGGAAGGAAGCTAAGGCTTACAGCAGCGAGAACAGTTTCCGCAGGTTTCTGGAAGATTCTCACAGCCGGGCCTTGAATCTCTTTGGGCGTCACCCATTTGAGCGAGGCACTCTGCCGCAGGGTCTGCTCGTTCACCGGGGTGCCTCAAGCCACCATGTACTTTTGGTTCGCTCTAGTAGCAAACTTAGCCTGACAGTCAGGAATTTGTGACTTCGAAGATAAAATGATTGAGTTTGTGCAGCCCTTTTGTGAGAAAAAAAAGTCCAAGCATTTTGAGGATGCATATCAATGCATGTAGTCATGCGGGAGGGAAGCAAGCTCGCCTTCTGCTTTGTATAAAACTCTCTTGCTGTACCCCTTGCCAACCATGTCCCCTTGGTTCGTTGCGCACGCATCTGAGCATGTCGAACATCTTACTCAACCTCACCCTCATGACGCCCAAATAAGCCTACCGCAACAAGTAATCAACCTCATCGCTAGATGAGTTATTGCTAGTCGTATGCTAATGCCGATGCAGCTCTTTATGCTAAAATACATGTCAAGACTGAGTTCCGGCCATGTTGTGGTTGTTATCAAATGCCATGTAGGTGGATGTGTATGCCTCTGCATGTAAGACATAGTAGTAGTTGCGTAAGTAGGCCGCGAGGCAAGTAGAGCAACGCAACAGAGCAGAGTCGGTACAGCGCACTGCATGCATGTGCTTGAGTGCATATTCTATGCAGTCTATGCATGTAATGGCTGCTCAACCTCATTGAAAGTGGGGCTCCTGAACAGCCAGGACACCTCTAACTTCAGGCGCCAGCGCTTCTGTGCAGACTTGTGCTGCTTCCGACCACTCGCCTTCCCCTGAGCTTTGAGATGTCAGGGTTGTATCTATCCTAATGTCTTTCCACATGTTGCCTACGAGTTCTGGAGGATATGAGGCTGTGACCTGAACTATACAGATATATGGGATTGTGTCCGTCAGCACCTGCAAACTCAAATGATAGCAGCGCGGGAGCTGCAAAACCAAGTGCTCGCAAGTTTGTTTTCCACCCTACACCCCAGCCCGGTTGCAAGAGCTGCTACCGTCATCCCCTGAAAGCTGGACCACAAACAAGGAACCACGTCACCACGCCTCTTGACCGTCAAAGAACCCTATACCTGGAAGCCCGAATGTTTATCCCACTCCCCAGCAACGAAGTCTTTGAGCCAGAGGTCCTTGTCCCTGGGCCACTGCCAAGACCTGCAAGCTCGACACCCGAGTATCTAGAGCCGGATTTGGGATTAGGAAATGGGGAATGCATGTGAACGCGTGATTTGAGTCAAGCAGCCCCTATAATCACCTAGCTTGCATGGACCTTTCAAGACCATCAGACATCCCGCCTGCACGAGGCAGGTGCTGCTGGACTTGAGGTCCCGCAGCGTATAGCGAAACAGACCTGCTGGGAAAGCGAGCTGCAAAGCTTCCGGGCCACAAGGCTGCAACTCCGCCATGGATCGTGCACTGGGCGCCGGAAGCGCAAACTCCCCAAAACGAAGTCCCGTCCTCCATTTTTTGCCTCCTTTGTCTCCCGGAACTCCACTGCATCCAATACACCCAAATTTTTTCCCTCCACTGGCCTGACTCGGCGCCAAATCGCTCCGCGGCCGACGCCCGCACGCCAACGGCTTCTGTCCAGGCGGGCTGTGCCCGGATGCCGCCACCTGGAAAACTTGGGGTTCATCGAGCTTAAAAGGGGGAACTTGGGGCAATCAGGGGTACTTTTCGGCTTACAAGGCAAAAACGCAGGCAAAGCATTCAAGCTTTCTCCTGGTGAATGCTTTCGTTCTTGGAATCTCCTCTCAGTGTTTACAGCCCTGATAGGACCAGCCAAAGCACTCCCAAAACCTTATGCGGGCAACTTGAACCCGTCATGAAGCCTCTACACTTCCTGACTCAATGGGAGCTTCCGGGAAGCTCCGACTTCCCCGAAGTCCCCGCAACCCCTGAGCCCGGCCGGTGGTGCGCAACTCTGGCTCGTAGCTCAAGCGGATGCGGAAACCTGGACTTGATCTGGGACTCTTCGTCTCCAAGCAGGTTGGACTCTCAGAACCCTTTTCACGCCTTGTCCTGAAGTCTGATGATGGCAGGCGCGGAGCTTGATAAAAGTCCGCTGAATCCATGAAAGCCGAAAGCCCCCTTGAATTAGGGGGGGCTTTATTGGGGGAGCCTCGAAGCTGCCGTTGGCGCAGCTCCTCCTCGGCTTCTGCACCCAGGCAGAGATCCGCGCGCTCGAGGTCCGGGCCTTCCAGCCAAGGGTTCGCAAAGATATTCGGATACCAATGGGTTTTTTTTAAGGGAGGGCATAGAGGGAGGGCCTATGAGGGCCAGGGTGGAAGGCTGGCCTTTCCGAGGCCCCGAGACCCTTGAGATGGCCCTACTGCTCAAGGCCCTGACTCGGTGAAACCCGCCAGCAGATGGTGGCGGAGTGATGGTCTGCTGTCTCGACCTCAGCGCAGGGTGGTCGGACCACTATACCCCATGGGTGCCCGCAGCGTCTTCGGTCAGAAATCTGCGCGGCCTCGGTCTCCTGCGTCTAGAGGGCTCCGGTTTACAAATGGTGAAGGCCTTATCTTCGGGTCGAGCTCACAAGCTCTTAGGGTTTGCATAGGCTTACACTGTTTGGAATCTAGATGCTGAACATACATGTGTGGTAAGTCTAAAGGTCGATGCTTCAGCGAAAACCGTTTCCACCAGGATCCCAAACCGATACACTCTGGAACCCCTAGAGCCTTTGCAGCAAACATAAAGACTCTGCCCTTCACCTTAAGCCCTACCTGCCACCCCCAAAAAAGTGCAAGCAGTCCCTGAAATAATCAGTACGAGTAGTCGGACAGCATCAACCTCTGGTCGAGGGGCAGTGAGGCCAGTGACCGGTGGAGGCACAGGCAAGGTTTCTGCCCGCATCGCCTGCGCTTGAGATTACGAGCTTTGCTGTGTCCCATAGGTCGGCCGGATGTGTGTGTCGTGTGAACAGCTACTCTGAAATTTGCTCCCTATGGACCTGTGGTAAGCATCGTGAGATCTATGGGCTGAGTGAGATCTTAATGGCCTTAAGTCCGCGATGAGTGCCATGACCGACAATTTGGGTTCTTGCAGACTTGCGGAAGCCCTGTGAAGATCTTGCTGGGACACAAGTCAAGACCCCATGCGAATCTCCGGAGCTGCCCACACTCCCCCCAAGCCTTAGTCTAACTGAGTCGAACTGTGTGAGCCTGCGATGACTGACCATTGCCGGCCGGTGTGACGGCAGCGGCGGTGCCTCATCGAGGCTTCAAGGGTCGGCTGTTTTGTTGCCCCGGGGTTTCACTCTGGAAGCTTCGTTTGTGGCTTTTGAGTCGCTACGTGAAGAAAGCGCGCGCCAAAATTGCGAGCCCACTCATACTGTCATGTTTTTCCAAGCACCAACTGCCGCTGCGGGACACGAGTAGACAGTCCGGTCCTGGAGATGACTGGCCACGACAACCTGAGGAAAGAAGGCACACTCGTCCCGCCCAATCGATGTACAAGGTCGAGTTCATGTGGAAGGCATGCTGAAACCCTTGAAGGCCTAGATGTCAGTACTTATATACTTACCCTTGTGCATCTTGAAACCGGCCCCTTTCCACAGCTCTGAATCGCGCCAAAAAAGCATGCGACTTCCGGTATGCTCCCCAAAGATCGGGGCATCCTTCTGGGACTTCTACATCGACTCTGTAGCCCCTTCCAGAGCCTCCGTCTATACGTGGCAAAAGAATTGTGAACAAGTCATGACATTCTGAGATTTTTTGGGGCAAATCCCAAATCAGGTCTCCAAACTCTCCCAACCTCTGCCTCCAGGGCACGTGCGAAGGGAATGCCTCCTCTGACAGCCCAAGCATGTGTGATAACCTGCACAGAGGAACTTGCTGACTCCATGCGTTTTATGTTCTGTACCCAGAAAATCTCAGACTCAACACGACATCGACTAACATCATTGAGGAACTCCCGAGCGTCCCTCGCGGCCGCTGCGTACAGTGGGCTTATTGGTTTTTGGCTGGGCAATCCATGGGTTGGAGGATCACTCTCCCACTAGTCAGCCTTTCGGCAGCTTTCTTCTGTCTCGGATATCTTGCAAGTTTTCAAAGCCCCTAACCGAAAAAAACTGCACCCCCTGACACTGCGGGTCTGGAGGGCAGCTTTCGATTTTTTGCATTTTTGTGTTTATTGTTTTTTTTTTTTTTTTTGGGGGGGGGGGGGCAGCAAAGAGGCACCTCGGCTTCACCTTGGTGGCCAACTCCGCCGCCACGGAGCGGCTGAACTGACAAGGGCTTGACGACTGTCATGACACCCGGGCACATCATGCTTTGAAAGCCTTGGGTTCTCAGAGCTTTGGGCTGCTTGTGTATATCTAAATATAATTCTGTATATGTGCATGTACACATCATGCATATCCTAGTATATGGACTCAGAGCGTAGGGTTCGGATCAGTTGACGTAGAGGTCACGAGGCTACCTGCCAGAGTTGCCGTGACAGGCCACAGAACGCGCAGAGTGTGGATGACCTGTTCCTTACGCACTCAAGAGCTAGTCCAAATCGTACTTGTAGTAAGTACCAACAGTAGTACATGAAGATTATTTGAAGTAGCAGAAGAAGGCCGATATTGCTGATCCCTCTTGTTCTTGTATACCCATTTTGAATATACATATACGTTCCTAGTTCCTACTGCGCTTATTGCTTGCATTATGATTCCCAATTTTCGTCATTGCCATTCTGCTATCATTCTCAGTGACACTCTTGCTACTATGACTACTATTATTACTATACTTACTACTTGTCGACGACGACTGCTACTGCTCCGTCTCCTGCTACAGGCGGGTCGTCACTGGTAGTATAAGAATAGTAATTATAAGAATAGTAACTATACGAAGAGTAATTATAAGAAATAGTAATTAGAAGAATCACAGTGACAGCCCAGGCCTGGAGGTGCCTTGACTCTGCCCCGCGCTGCAAGGGCTGCAGCCTCGGCTCGGGGTCGACAGTGGGCTTTGGAGGGGGAGGCCCGGATGATGAGTATAGTATAGTATAGTATAGTATAGTATAGTATCGTATAGTATAGTATAGTACATAGTATAGTATAGTATAGTATAGTATCGTATCGTATAGTGAACTGTATAGTATAGTATAGTGAACTGTATAGTAGCCATGGTCATCAGAATAACAATGTCAGGTCGTTCAGTAAATGCGCGGGGCCGATCTTCGATTTGGATGTGTGGGGTATGGAAGTAGTCTGGGGGGATGCCGAGGCGGGGGGAAGCGAGGGGGTTCCGAGGGAGAGTTTGGAGTGCCAACCATCGGAAAGCGCAGCCGGTCTCGTCCTCCATGAAAAGGCTTGCAACAACTCCGCCAAGCAGCGTCAACTCAAAGTGCTCGACCTCCTCGTCCTGTCCTGACATGTCAGCGCAGGAGCGCTTGCAAACATGGCGGATGAGATGCACGTGGGATCTAGTGAGATCTACAGCGGCTGCTAGTCGCGCTTGCAACAGCGGACTGAACACCAGGTCATCAGGAGAAGAAGCGGAAGAGAAGACCCGGCTTGGTTTTCGTTTGGATCTGTAAATTTCAAATGGCACGCTTGGCAATTAGGCTTGACGACTCAGGAACTCCAGCATGCTAGAAAACGGACGTCTTGGCAAGGCTGATTCCTGCTGCTGCGCAGTCTTTGTGGAAGCACATGTGGAAACATGTTCGCTATCGGTGTGCGATGTTATAGCCTAGCACTGGCTTGTCATGTGACCGCGTCTCAAGAGTCGTCCACGCAAGTGCAAGCAGGGGAACCATGACAGGATGCAGTCCTTTGCTCGCGTCCTCTGGACTCTCGAACCTCGGCAGGCGTGCATGCGCTGTTCGCAGCACGTGTGCACATATTCTTAGACACCTGGCAATGAGACAAGATATTGCGCAAAGCTGGTGTGCTGCGCAAGCTACCTCTTGCAGCTTCTTGTGTTCGGCAGCAAACCACCCCAACTGCTCTGAAACCGCACTGCAAGCAATGAAGCCTCACCTAACGCCAACAGCCAACAAATCCTGGACAGGGCCTTTCAAAGCTTGATTCGAAACAACAGCAAGCCAACACACAAGAAACAAACACGTAACGGTGAACACTCATGGCTTCGCCAGGGCGGCGTGAGGCCCAAGACCAGGGAGGCGTGGCTGCCAGCCAGGAGCTGCGGCGCGGCCACCTGGAAGTAAGCGCCGATGAACGGAAGATGTTCGATGATGTGCTGGAAATTGTGAGGGATTGTAGATCTTTTGCTCAGGGGCGTGAGGACGGTGAAGGGAGAGGAATGCAGATCTTTGTTAAACCGGGGGGCGGGGGGTGTAGGGTTTAAGGTCGCATACAGGATTAGGTGGTTGGGAGCTTCGGGGCTCATAGGGGTTTGTGGGGCTCGGGGCCCTTGGCTTCTGTCGTAGCTTTGCGAGTCGAAAGGTGCTGATGGCACTCCTGGTGCCCTTTTTCAAACAACTTCACTTCTGAATACCGACTGGACGGTATTTTCCATCTTTGACCACGCATTTTCACCCTACTCTGATCCAGCGCATCCCCCTAAGCATGCAAGGCCCCCCCCTTCCTTTTTAACATCAGAAGCCTATAAGCGCCAAAGCCCGAAGCATGAAAGGCCCACCCTAAAAGGTTTAAGAAATACCCTCGGCGCCAGCCGGAATCACTGGCCTGTGGGGCCTTACGCCAGGTAAAGAGCGGAAGGCTCTTCGGAGACCATTCGCCTGAAATGTCAAGGAAGGACGAAGCTGCTGAATCCTGGGTGGAAGTCTATGGGGTTTCATGCAAACACAGCTACCGTAAACAGGAAAAGTTTTCGAGCTGAGACCAGGCGAAGCATGTCACTGGGCGAGGATGTCCACACGGCGCTGCAACCCAAATTCTAGAGACACCACCCTTCGTGTTCCAACATGGCCTTGAACCTACTTTCTGCCTCAATGCGATAACCGATGGCGCCTTGGCCACAGGCAGTCTTTGCCGCGACCTTCGCGGGAGTCTTTTGGAGTTTTGCCACAGAAGCCCCCCCCCCCCCCCTCGCATGGCTGTGCAGCCCATTTCGGATCAGGGGACCTTAAGTGGCTGTGTGCCTAAACCCCCGGTTGTCGCGGCCCGCGCCCGCGTCCACCTGTTACAGACCTCTGTAACGCCCGGCTTGTTACAGACCTCTGTCGCGCGCACGTTCGTATCATGTATATGATATTTTTTACATGATATGATATTATATTATATATACATATACATAAACTAAAAACGGGTCTCAGGGCGCATTGGGGTAGGACGATAATGCGTCTATTTGGGGCGCACGTTGCTTACGCAGATGTCGCAATAGACTGTGTTTGGTCTGTCGCGGGTATGTAACGCACTTGTAACGGGGTATGTCGCGCGCCGGGAGGCATGAACACAGATTTCGGGGAAGTTCGGGTTTCAGGCTTCGGGCGTGTCTTGCCTAAAGCCTAGAGAGTCCCCCTGTTGAGGACTGAGTGGGGTTGGCCGCGACAAGCAAGACCTGGAACCCTCACTTACCCCCCGATAAGCAAGACTTGGAACCTGCAGACAACAACAAACAGGTCTGTCGCAAAACCCCGGCCATTGATACATACCCTCTGTAACGGGGTATGTCGCGTGTGTGGGCCGCGGCCCTGTTACAAGCAATTAATATTGGCACGCGGCCAAGTGGCACAGCTTCCTTCTCCTACTTCGGGGCTGGGGGGGGTGAGGCTGCGAGCGCAAGGCTTGAAAAGGTCCACCCGGCGCCTGGACGTAGTACATGCGAGAGGCGGAGAGGCCCGTTAGCCAGTAATGGACCTCGCAGGTGATTTGTACATGAGTTTCAGTGGCCTTGATGTGAGCTTTTCTTGACAAATTGGAGTACAACTAAACACTGAACCGGGCTTGTAGCCTGCCCTATCAAGCAAGAGAAAACCTGGGGGGTTTGTTTCAAGTCAGGGTCCCCCAATGTACATACATACCCGGTACCGAATAGAGCCCATTTTAAGCAGGACACCCAAAAAGGGGAGTACGACTTTGAACGAGGCCCACCTGGCAAAGTGAGAGCCCCAAACCCATTTCCCACCTCTGGGAGATCATCGCTGCTTCCTGGGAGACATTCCATGACCCGGCACTCACCCTCAGACCCATTGAAATCATTGGACCCATGTGATGCTGCTTCCAGGGCTTTAGATATCTTTAAATGCAGGCGGCGGCTTGGGTTTCTGAATTTTTTGACCCAGGCTTGTGCATCCCAAGTCACCGCATCTCAAACAATTTCGATGGCCTCGGAAGGCGCTTGGGATCTCGAGCTGCTGCTGCCCTTGCTGCCCTTACTGCCCTTACTGCCCTTCATCCACAGGCTCCACTTCGAGCTGAGCCATGCGTTCGCTTCAAAGAAGTTCATCTTCCCGATGGCCGGCACCGGAATCTCCAGCATGTCCGCCAGCAGGCGGATGTTGCGCTGCTGCTTCAAGTTCGCATGAGCAAGGCCTCTGCACTGGGATTCCCCTTGGCCATGCCAGGAGCTACAGTGCTGTGGGGTCGGCTGCGGCCGTGAGCTCGGTGTGCTGAGCTGCGAACTCCGTGTGCTGGGTGCTTCGACAGCCGACGTTCTGTTTGGAGGCGGCGTCCAAGGACTGGCCGGCGCAGGGGCATCCGGCAGATGAAGGGGTGCATCGGACCTCGGGGTCTCTAAGAGCAGCTCCTCAAAGCTCCCAGCCCAGGCATCCCGCTGAGTGAGGAAGAAGGACAGGTTGAAGAGATTCTTGATCGTCGCGGGCACGGAGGTCAACTCAAACTGTGACGTGTTCGTGGGCCCTTTCTTTGGCTCTTGGTAGACTGTCCCCTTTGCCTTGACTGCTTCTGAACTTACTATTGAACCTTCAAGACATGCAACGAAAAACATGCTTTGTAGCTATAATGATACCATTAAGACTCGGCGTGGACGTTTGCGGACGTTTGCGGAGGTTTGCAGCCCAGCTGCCACCCAGGGTGAAATGAGCATGGCCGTGGTTCTGAGTCCCAGCCGGCGGAAGTCAAAGGCCGGGCCGCAGTCTGGATGAAGACCTGGGATGACACATGTCGAGTTGTCTGCTGGAACGCCTTCAAAGGGAGGTACCACGTGGTCATAGTAGCCCCCTGCATCATCGTAGGCCACAAAGAGCAAGGTCCGATTCCAGCCGGGCCCCGAACGTACAGCCTCGTAGACATCCTTCAAGATCCGCTCGCCCTTGGCAATGTCATGACACGGATGGTCGCAAGCCTGAATTGGAGGCAGAACCCAGGACAGTGCCGGCAGCGTGCCATTTGCAGCTTGTTGATAGAAGATCTCTTGGCTCATGAAGCGGTCCTTGTGTCGTGCAACTCCAATCATTGCAACATCCGGGGTGGAGATGGCCGAGCCCGAATCAGGATCATGTGGATCCTCACCATGGCAGGGCTTGCCATCCAAGCCACACGTGCTGTTCATAAAGAGGCTGAAGCTGACGTTGTGCAGGCGCAGGGAGTCATAAATGGTTGGCTGCGGGAAGTATGTCCCATTCCCTCCACACTGCTTCCAAAGAACGTTTGAAGTCATTCCGCAGCTGGTGCCGGACTGAGTAAAGAGATGATTGGGGCTACTTGCAGAGGGCACAGCTGTGAAGAGCTTGTTGAACACACCAAAATTTTGTGCGATCGCTGCCTTGATGGGCACCTGCTCTGGCGAGAACATCGTCACGGCAGTGCTGTTCTCCGCAGCTCCCCACCATGCCGAGTAGTTGTCACTCTGTACGGAGTAGGGATACTTGTTCGGATTGCCATCTTTGGCAAACTTCCCGTTCCATGTCGCATATGCTGGGCCTTTGCTGCAAACGTACGGTGCAGCTCCGCACGTGATGTTGATGAAGCCCTTAGATGCATCCGTAGGATCGACCGGAACGCGATGACCTCTGATACCGTCAAAGCCAGGTAGATCCATGCAGCCGAAGAAATGGTCCGCAGCATGGTTCTCCATGTACAGGACCTTAGGCGGGATGCCCTACTGAGTCCTACTGCACTGACAAACGAACGCATCCGAGCAGACCGTCGCTCATTATCATCGCATGTCTGAAGCTCTCCCGGTGTTTCGGGTCGCGAACGATGACGACGCAAAGTCTGCAGTCTGGGAGCGACAACATGGTCAATCTTGTTCTGGCGCTGGGGAGGGCTGCTCAGCGGCAACTCGGCTCTCTTCGCCGCGTCTGGAAGGAAGCGCAGCACATCCTGCCCACATTCTGCCCGATAAGATGCAGCAAGTACCCCGAAAAGGCCCTGAAATGACGCTGCATGGAGGAAAACTGATGGATGGAGGTGGATGGCATTCTTCTTTTTGTAAGCGTGCGCCAGCGTGCGTCGGGCTGCACCCCAGCCTGTGAGTGCGCCAGAAATTCCAAGCTTCGTCCGCTGATACTACTTGCATGCAAAGTGTAGAGGATGTCGCATTTGTAGAATGTTTTATAATGTTGTGCGTGAGTGTGCTTCACCCAGAACCAATGCATCAGCTGGCCTCCTTTAGCTCCAGCAAGGTGCTCTGGGAAAACGCAGCCGCAATCGTCAGTGCTGTGAGCTGACTGAGAACACGGGCTGGTGCTGCCATGGCTGCTGCAGGAAGCTCACTGACGGTGTAAGTGCTGTATGTACGGAAGCGGATGGAACAGGACGCAAGCGTGCTCTAGTTCGGGATACTCTGGATGTCAATTGAGGTCTGCATGGTTCTTATAGCGACTATACCGGCTCATGTGTCTTGCGGCGAAAGCTCTGTTTACGCGACAGACCCCCTCGTTGGTAGCAGTACTAGTAAGCAGTACTTAGCGGAGAAGCCAGTTGACCATCTCCCACAGCGTGCAAGGCCACTGCACCCAAAACTGCGTTCCGAGGTGCGCGAGGAAGGCTCTGGACTGCCTGCGATGTCCAAGCTTACAGTCCCTTGTGCTCAGTGGCGAAGCATTGGTTCTGAGCAGTCTGTGGAATACTTACCTTGCAATACCCCCACATTGCGACACAGCTCAAGCACCATCTGACTGTGGAGTGTGGGCACTTGCCAAAGAAGCAGAAGCATAGATTTGAAAATGTGCGTTAACAGGGCTTTTAATTTCTGAAATCCGTTGTCGTCATGCCAAGCCGCCCAAGCCCAGCTTAGCCCCCTTCGACTCTTGGCAACACTCCCACCCTTGGCAACACTCCCACCCAAACCTCCCATCTCGCCCTCGCTCTTCGCCACGGACATGGCAGCACTTCCTGTCGAGATCTGGGCGATGCAAGAAAGCTTCGGTCGCTGATCTCGGTCACAAATCCATATGCTTGGATTTGTGGCCTAGCACTAGGTACTTCGGCTTGTCGGCTTCACGGCAGAAGGATGCGATGCATACGGCAAGTATGAAGAGTACGATACGCCTTCCGACCACGTCTCTGAATGTTTTCCTGCTTGGGGAGGCTAGAAATTCTACAGTCGGCTGCTGGTAAGCTGCAGGTAACATCTCGCCTTCCAGGAACTGTGCCGTCTGCTCGCTTGGCCTCAGAAGCCGAGAGGCCAGCTTGACCTGCGCAGACTGCGGCGCCAAAGCCCACCGCATGTGAAAATACCACCACCTAAGTTCTCCTGCACATTTCTGTGCCGTCTGCTGCTAGCTCAGAGAGGACAGCGTGTCGCAGATGTATGAGCTCTGCGGCACTGGCCAATCAGATAAGTGTTGTGTGCTTGTGCAATCAGGCTTGTTGGGGTCCTCCTTCTCGTTCTTGACTGGCCAGCGCGGCTCTGTGTCAAAGTAGCGCACGACATATCCCAGCACCTGCATTCCGAAGAAAGAGCAAGGCCTTGTGCATTCGGCGGCGCATAAAATGTATAGGCGTAGTGAAGATTCTTGTCTGGTACAAAAACAGTGACGAATGATCCCCGGCGTGCATCTACGTCGTCTTGCGAAGCAGCCTTGCCTCGTCCTGTTGCGTAGTGGGGCTTGACCATTTCAGCAGCAAGCGATCGTACCTCCATGGTCAACGGTCGGCTCAGGGCTTCGGGTTTCTCAAAGTTTCAGGGTGCACCTTTTCTGCGCGAGGCTTCGCTATTCACAAAGAAAGTTGTTATGGCAAAATGGTCTGAACACAGCAGGTCTAAAAGTCATGCTGGCTCGTCTGGACAACGATTAAAGGGGCCGCTCCCGGCCTGGCACACTGCAGACGCGGGGCGTCTGTCAAAGGCGGTGCGACAGCAAGCGTCCGAAACCTGCTGATGTTGTTTTACAGAACTCATGAGGCTCGAAGCACAGGTAGTGTAAACCAACTGATGGCCTGGGCTACAACGTTGGAACTTCTTTAGTGTCCCCCCCCCTCCCCCGCCCCAGAACAGTCGAAGCTGGTCTTCGCCCCGTTTACACGGTCCACGGGTTTTGTATGATTTTAATAGGGATAAGTTTTAAAAAGGCAGCGATGCCCGGCAATTGATTTTGTAGGCGCCGTGTGGAAATTTCTTACGGCGCCCGGGCGATTTGACTTAATTCAGGATCCCACGGCGCACCCCCAAACAGTCAGGGTGTCCTGAATAGCCTTGTGAACTTGACTTTGTTCAGGAGGCCCCTACTAAACAGGGTCCAGCATTAGGGCCTAGGCATGCTCAGCCTGGAACTTTGTGAAGTACTGCTAGTTGGAGCCTTGAAGCCCAGAAGCAGCTACGACTGACAACCATTCTTGACGAGTACCCCCGCAAACGTTCCAGAACTCTGAGTTGAGGTGTCCTTCTTTTGGCAACTCATAATTTGCCAAGACACACTTTAAAAATGATAGGGCCCTCCCTTGGCTCGTAGTCAGCGCCTCCTTGGCGAACTCCGCTGGCCGGCGGAAGGCAGCGCCAATCGCACCTGAGGAACAGCGGGCAAGCCCAACTTGGGAGTGGCGAGCGTTTCAGGCCTACATAGCGTGCACGTGCTTCTGTCCAAAAGCCACGGCTAACTGTGTGGACATTCCATCCCTGCCGACCCGCGCCACAACCTAAAGAAGCAGCCTGTTGCCCACTGCGTGACCTGCTGTATCGACCCTGGGTTCCTGGCATCGTAGTAGGAAGATGCATCAAGGCCCCGTAGCGTGACGTGAACCTGCACAGTAGCAGCGAGAGCTGAGGATTGCCGGGCCTTAAGCCCATACACATACAATGCCATCTAGATCTCTGACTTGATCTCTGGTGATCTGTGAAGCGCCCCTCCCTTCCAAATGCGGCTCCAGCACGGCTCGCGCGGAGGTCTCTCGCGCCTGTGCCTGTGCTCTCTCAATGCTGTGGCTTGTGAGGGCGCGTAGCACAGTCCGAAGGCTTGTCGCTACTCCGTATGCTGAGAAGCCACGACAAGTTCGAAACCTCTCTGCACCTCCCTGCAGCTTCAACCCAAAGCTTCGATCTGAGCTCAGGAATCCGACACCCAATGAAGGGGGCCACGTGAGTCACTATTGCCCTCCATCACTGCCGAAAGGCGGGCTGATCGAGAGCCGTCTCGGAGGGCTTTGAGCTCATCCGCGAGGGAGGGAAGTAGATGTCATTGGTCTCGCAAAGCGACTGGCGCCTCCAAAGACAAGTGCTCTGACTCTCTAATTATATAACTTCCTTCCTTAGCCAAAGCTAGCCTGCTAATGTAGCAGAACTGTCGGTAAAGAGGGACCAGAGAACCAGGCGCCAACGCTGCCAAGACCCAAGCCCCCGCCCACCTTAGGCAACCAAAACGTTGGACCCTGATCCGCAAAGCGCTGCAAAAGAAAACAAGTTGCAGGTATGTCTTGGAGCTCAGCTTGGCTGCGGCCTATTTCATCTAGACTTAGAAGCAAGACGTACTCTGTCGGACTTCAGGGTGCTTCGGCTGTAAAAGTATTGAGTGTCTTCTGCATGGTGCTGCGTTGTACAAATCTGTTGTACAGCTCAGCACGACTGCTGTAGCTGCCGCATGCTTCTCCCGCCGCAATGACAATGTGTCGAGTAGGCCACGATGGGCTGCTTTTTCTTCCGCAGCACGCAAACGCTTATCAGTTATCACTGCAAGCCATCCTCCAGCGTTTGTGGTTCCAAAACTGAAGAAGCACTGCTTCACTGAGAAGGCTTGTGATACTTTTCGACGCCGCAACTGAAACAAGTTGCTGGATTGTGTTTTGTTTTTCCTGGGGCGCTGGCCAGAATTCCTGTATGACCCCAAACAACGTACTGTGCAAGGGCTTGGCTCTTGGGCCTATATCACTTCCCCTGGAGCCGGTTACACGATGCCTGAGTTTGCAAGGCAGGATGCCTTGCTAAATTGGCAAGCGACTGAAAGAACACACAGAAGCCACAGGTGCACGGCATGGGAAAGCAAAGGCCAGGCGTTCAGGGTGTTTAGGATGCCAAATCCGACCTCAGATCTAGGTCCAGCTCGAAAATCCCGAGCTGGTCTCAGGCATACAGGGTTTACAGCATTTTGTGCTTTATATAGGACTTATACTGCATTTAGTGTTTCGTATGCGATGAATCACCAGGAGTTTTTCTCCACTCCAAAATGAGTTTCTCAGGGCCCAGAACCCAAAAACCTTCAAAAGCCGAAGCCCCACTGCCTCCAGGCCCCTGAGAGCAGCCACCCGCTCGGCCGATACTCTGCCTGCAAACGACGGTAATCCGCAGTCTCAAATGTGGCCGGTACTGGGCCAACTCTCAGCAAAGCAAAGAAATCCGAGAAGTACAAGCAGAAAGGCCTCGACATCTTCAGGCTGTGTGTCTGCCGGCACCTTCAATTGCCAAAGCCGCAGCTGCCAACCGGCAATAGTTTTTTGGGGGATCGGCAGGGGAGACAAGACACCTCATACAAGAAAGAAACTGTTCGAAGCTGCTGATGCCTTGGATTGAGCCTGGCTTGCCAGCACTTGCCGAATGCTTACGTAGCCATGTGGAGTCTGCACGAAGTGTTCGAAACAAGAACTGATCCTGCTTGCAGCGATGGCAACCATCAGCACACCAGATGTGCTGAGTCATCACACTGTCCAACGTGCACCATTGTCACACACACACATGGTTATCACTTTCAACCACACCCACCCTCCCTTCTTGTCCCGAAGAATCTGAAGACGAAGAACCCTAGACCCAACTAGACCGTAAACCCATGACTCATCCATTGAAGCCCCTCTCTGTGAAAAAGAACCGAAACTGTAGCTCCAACAATCCAGGCACCCGCCAGCGCAGCGTCAGGGACGAGCTCCCAGCCGCTGCCAGCTTAGGCTCGTCGCCTTTGCATAAGCCGGTTTTGGCTTCAGGGCTTTGGACGTGCAATATAAACAATGCCAGAGTTGTGTCCAGTCAGAGATTTGGCTTTCTCTCGCTCTCACCCCTCCAATAATCGACGATGAAGGTTTCTGCTGTCTTTCGGTATGGCCTCTGTGCCGCACCATCCCGGGGGATCTGCTCTGAATTTATTTTGAGACGTCAAGGCTGGTTCCTGAAACATTTGGGTGGGGGGCATTGCCAGGATGTCTCAGGATGTCTCAAGTCTTCAGGGGGCAAAGCAGATGGAGCGTCCCCTTAACCCTTGCCCCTGTGGGATACGTCGATAGGCATTCTGCCAACAGCAAACCCAGGATCAATACGGCTGCCGCAAATCAAATTCAATGTAGGTTTCGGCTCGAAATCTGTGGGCCTAGTCGTTTTAAACAAGACCAACATGCGTGTGCAACTTTTTGAATCAATACGATTGTCGGAACTAAACTTTGCAGCCTTCTCTCTGTTGCGAGTGCGCGGCTACGCGGCGAGGGGAGCTCGTGGTATTGGCTGTCGTCCAACATCCGGGCCCAGAAGCCAGCACAGCGACCTCCTAAATCCTCAAACTTGGAGCATAAGGGTCTGGGGGGTGGGGCTGTCTTCAAGGCTATGATGTCGAGGGGTAGTAAAGTAAAGTGTGCCTGTCACCAAGGCCTGTCGGCCGAGGTTGACAGCATAAGCCAACTGTCGAGTGCTGATTGTGTGTCGCTGTCGCTGCTGCGGCATGAGAAGGCTTGACTTCGCTGCATGCTTCATGTGTGCTCAATCTTGTTTCAGCTAACAACTTGCTCTTGCGGTCATGAGAGTCACTTCTAACTGAAACTGAAACGGCCGCGGTGTCGTCAGAGGAGCATCGGCCTCGAATGAGCCCTGACAATGATGGCTGGACGGTTTCTGGAGATGGGAAATGCTTTTCTGCAATATGGAGGGGTTTCAGGGCTTTGCAACTTCATCGGGCTTCGGTCTTCACGATTTAAGGGAATCAAGTAGGGCAGCAAGCCTAGTACAGACCCTAAGCCGAACTGTGAGCACACCTGGCAAGACTAGCAAGTGAGTCGGTCCTGGCATTTTGTGCAGATTCGGGAATTCTCACATTGATATACGTACATTGCAGCACCCACACAGGACTCTTTTCAAGCCGGTAGCCGCCTCTTGCTGTTCAAAAGGCCAAACATCCCAGCATGCAGGCGTTGTCATTGCTCAACCTGACAAAGAACTAAAACCAACCCCTAAAACTCGTTGTTAGGAACTGTGGTTCAGGAGACTGACTGCCCCTTTGACGTCTGTTGGCGTGTCGTGAGACCACGCAGTGTCTGAGTGCCGTCTGTTCGGGCATCAGACTGGGAGGACTGTGCTCCCGCCGCGCCCATCCCGGTTCAAGTATTTAGGCGCCCGATACCGCGACATTGTTGTAGATTGGAGGATCCTGGTCATGCAGACCACGCAACTTTTGAGCTTGTGTTGTTGGGGGTCACGAAATACCCAAGACTTGGCCGATCATCAGTGCCCATCGAGGTCCGCTGTCCTCAATGTGGAGGCATCTAGTAATCCACGGCAGGACAGGCCTCCCTGCCGGCAGTTGTGAACACATTGGGGTTCTTCGCATGAACCGCCCGCTTGTAGATGACAGGACACCAGATGTGATAAGTCCTTTGCTTTCGGGCTTTCAGAGATCCATGTCGCTGGAAAAGAGGCTCTGGCGTGCCCCACTCCTCCACGGGCCTGCTCCAAGGCTTTCCCAAGTGCCAAAGGTCCTTGAAACACCTCAACAGCATCTAGTGGGGCGAGCTTCCAGAACCACCAGCCCACGAAGCTTCAGATGTCAAGGTGTGGTCCCATGCCCTGTGCTCTGTGGCTACAACCATCTCATCATCCTGGGAGCATCTCTGCAAAAGAGCAGGCACGAAGAGCGCGGCACCGCGCGCGCGCTCTGAACAAGGCGTGCGTGGTGACGTGCTGTGACCGGGGGCCACCCTGCAAACTCTGCAACATTTGTAAAACAATGGCCTCAACGCGCTGAGGCTTGTGAACTGGAGACGGAGCTAATGCGAAAGCAACATTGTGCAACCAGGGAAGCTGGGTAGCATGAATAACCTACAGGCCACTGCAGGCCCTCTCGGAGGCATCTCCAAAAGCTGCAAGAACTGATTGGATGCCAGCAGTAGCCAGCAGCAACAGCAGCCTGTGGATCGGGCACCTACAGCTGCTTGCTTGCGTTGAATGTGCACCTTGCGTGCAAGATTCCAGCGCTCGCATGCGCTTCATGGAGCCAGGGGCATCCCGGCAGCTGGGTGCATCTACAAAAATTAACATGTCAAAGGTTCATTGTCGGGCAGGGTCTAAAATGGTTCTGGGATGGGATCTGACCATGGTGGCCTGACCATTTAAGACCCTCGCAAACTGAGGAATTCTGTCGAGTTTTTGAAGCGCTCGCTGCGCGGAAAGGAGTTTTGTAACATGTACCATTTTGGGTCGGAGCTGGGAGGTTGCTGGGTTTAGGGTTTAGGGATAATCAGCCATGGCGGCACGCAGCCAGAAACACTGAACGTGTCTGTGGCAAGGCTGGGGACTTGTTCGGGCGGTATCTTGCTTGCCCTGCCTTTCTCTAAACTCACTCGTAAGCCTGACGATCCTAAAGGTGCCACCTTATATGCAGGCCACAGGGAGCGCTGAGCTTTGGGGGATTTGTTGATGGACAAACATGCTGCCTTAAGGGCCGAACAGAAGGGACCCCCCAAAGGCGTACCCCCAGCCGGCTTTGGGCGAACCTTGTAAGCCCAAAACCTCCAAAACCAACCTCGGCGAAGTCAGGCGACTTCGATGAAGACAAGAGAAGGGTTACCGAAGCTGCGCTTGCCGAGCCTGATCTTCTTCACTTCCCACCTCTCAACTTGCCGCCCAGCGGGGTCGACGAACCCTGAACCTGAACAAGCCTCGACGAAGGCGGGGAAGCTTCGACGAAGGCGCGAGGCTTGAACGAACTTTGTCCAAGGTTCGCGTGGTGATTGCCCTTTGGACGGGTAAATCGCGTTTGCCCCTGATGCCTGCATGCAATGCAGCAATCCCTCCCGACACACAGACACCGACATGCAATCCTGGGCCGGCACTCCGCTAATGACGAAGGGATACCGTGTCGTTACGGAATCTTGCAGCAAAGCAAAGCGGCCTCTGATCAACAGAGAGCAAGGTGTGCTCTGAACATGCAGTGAGGCTGGTACTCAAGCACACAGGGCCTGAGCGTCTTTGCTCTGGCGATGTCAGACATCCCGTGCCCATGCCCTCAAACCAAGTGCACAGTAGTCGGGCGTGGAGAATCGGCCAGAAAGGCCGCCGACCTGCGGTAAAAACGTCATTGGACAGCAGCAGTCTCGGAAGGTCCAAGACAGCTCCCACACAAGGGTGGCCAAACTCATCCAGGGCTGACAGCAAAACCATCTGGCGCATGCGGGCGCTCGCCAGTGTCCTTGATGCTGAAGATCTCCCACGACAGGAACGATTTTGGCACGCACCTTGTCGGTTGGAAGAGGCAGTTGATGGCCGTGGCACGCAGCCAAAGCATGCAGCGGAGCACCGAGCGGAGCACCGAGCGGAGCACCCTCTAGACGAGGCAAGTCACCTCAAAAATCTTCAGAATTCTTCATATACCTATAGTACAGTGCTCTCGCGCAATGCTCGCGCAAACTAATGCCCACATGACACAAGCCGAAAGGTGCCCATCTTCAACAACCACAACAGCCGAGGGTGGACATGCATGGAGGGGTCAGGCCCAGGGATTTATCTGGATCAAGTCCCGAGGCCGGACCCCAGTGCAGAGACTAAAATCTTTGGGCTTGAGCCCTGTAGAATCATGGCACTCGGACAAAAGGCGGGACTTTTTCTCAGCCATACGACAGGGATAAAATCCTGCAGGCGCAGCCCCATATGCCTCAGAATAAAAAATCTAAGCGACTAGATTTAGAGGCCTGAGCCTCCGACTCCCCTGTAACAACAGCTGGGTGAAGCTTGCAATGATACCTGGTATGAATGACAACAGAATCGCCAGGAATGGAGGGACACGAGCAGATGGCGCAAAGGGAGAGGCCACAACCCTCCTTGGCTGTTGTCTTAGCTTTTCTCGCTTCTGACAGCTGAGACAAAGGCGTTCGTGGCTGACAGGTGGTGGACCTAGCAGTATCGGTCTTTGTGGCCCCAGCTGGCTGCCAGAGCTCGTCAGGCACGCAGCTGCCCCGGTACAGGTGCAGTGTGGGGCTGGCTCCAATCTTATCTTCATTGAAGTGGAAGAGCAAAACGTGCCCTTGCCCCAGAAGTGTCAGCTGAGCGATCAGCAAACCCTCATGCAGCTTCGGCACGTCTCACGACATCTTCCGCAGAGCTCGTCATTGAAAGACATTTTCGGCATACTTAAGAACAATATCTTTAGAGGTCCCAAAAAGTTGCGAATCAGCACACTGGTTGCTTCGAGACTGTGGGTCTACAAGGCACGCGCTTTCGAGGTTAGACGTTGCACTTTCGTGGCACCATGCAGAACAGGCAGAACGAGTGCTGCCTTAGGTAGACTACTCCTGGAAAGGTTCCAACAAACCTCAGTAGGAGCACGGTCTCTTGGATCTTAGCGTTGGCTTGAATACCCTCACCCGTAATGGTGGGAGATTCGTTTCAGATTCGCAGTGATGACTTGACTTTCAACAGCCCCGGTGGACTTGCGAAGAACACATATGAACCGCACTGAAGGCACTTGTAACCCAGCCCTGCTTGCCCCTCTTCAGGGCAGGGCCGCTAAACCATCAAGAGCCCAGGGTCAGGCCTGTGATTTCAAGGAACAGAGACTGGCACACGTCGTTCCAAGCACGACGTTGAAGTGGCTTATGCTGTGTTTTGGGGATGAGTTTGGGTGGGTTGGGCTCGGCAAATCTTAGGTGAAGCTTGTGCGTCTTTTCTTGCCTGTTCCATGAAGGACCACGCTCGGTGGCCCGAGGTGCTGGAAAGGCTAATCCAGCAATATCCTCAGTGGCTTTCCCGACAGTACTGACAAACTATCAGGCGTGCTCCTGCTTTCTGAATCTTTGCACACCTTCACATGCTGGGAGACTGTCTTGAACGTTTCAGTGTAGCCGCTGCTCCACGATTTCCATTTGCAGGCTCACAGAAATAAGTTGGACCTGGGCCGTGCTTGACTCGTCAGACGTGCGGCTGGACACCCAACGGACATGTGGTAGACTGAATCTCTGTTAATCGCGCCGTCAAAGCATGATGCCATGAGTGGTTGATGCAAGCGCCTCATGCGGAGAGTTGGGCTCACGGGGCTTCCTGCAGTGTATGACGGACCTGCAAGAAATCAAATGTAGACAACACACTTCGTCCTGAGTCAAGCTTGAACCAAGAAGCCGATCATCTGGAATGGCGTAATGGGCAATCGCAATCATGAGGCTTGCGCCGGTACAATTTACAAAGCTTCATGGGAACTCGAACTGGTGCTGAGGCCCCGATCCTCGAAATTCCAGTGGTTAACATGACAAGATCCGCACACTTTCTCCAAGCATGTCGGTCGTGTGTGCTTCCGAAGGTAAGACACACAAACTTGTCAACACTTTTCTTCAGGGAAAGTCGCTCAAAGCCGAACCCACTGCACCTGCCCTGAACGACTCTAAATCCACATCAACTTCCGCTTTCCATGGTTTCCGCTTTAGTTCCCTCATTTCCACGCTCTGCTCCCTGCGTATCTGCGACGCCTCCGTTCACCCCAGATCGTGTCTTCATGATAAGTCGAAACCGAAGCAGTAACTCCTTGAAGCAGGGTTGACGGTCATGCTATTGAGGATCGTACGATTCAATCACAAGAGTGCCAGTGGTATAGTGGGGATCCTCACGTCTCTCACGGGCTCGGAGACAAGCTTTCACGTTTCAGGGCTCATGTTCTTCTTATTTCCGGTGTGACGAGAGGCTTTGAAAGACATCTAACCTACTGTACGAATCCGTGAAGCAGTATATGCAAAGGCCTTGGGGCCTTGGCCCCGAAATGATCCACGTGGGACTTTTGTTCGCGGAGTTCACAAGCAATGAACCACCTTGTTCAGAAAATGGCGCTCAGGCGAATGCACTCTCCAGTCGCACTACGGCGAGAAGCGAAAATTGTCAGCCAGTTGAACCGACCACGGCTTTTAAATGACGGAGGCAGAGTGGAGTCACTCTGTCGCTAAACAATTGCCGGGTTGAGGCAGATGGGCAATGGAGTTTGGGCATGTGGCACCATACGACTACGGCTCGGTCGCAAGCCATCTGAAGCAGAAGCAGGAGGTGTTGTAGTCTTGGCCCTATACCAAGTTCGGACAACACATACGACCCAGAACCAAATAATATGAACCCTTGTCCAGCTGCTCCATTGAGCTTTGGGTCCAAAATCCAGGAAGGCCCCCGAGCTCTCAGGAGATATCCTCGGCCTCTGCCTCCGTGGTGAGCTCCTGTGCTTGGGCTGCTAACCAGAGTGTCCCCCCCCCCCCCTCCCCCCCTGAGTGTGTCTGTGTGGGGGGGTGCGTGTACATGCACTTAGAAGCGGTTTCTTGCAAGAGTTGGGCGTTGAGGTTGGGTGCCCAAAATCCCAGAGCACCGTGTGGTTTTCCGACCACGCCTCTGTGGCGTCAAGCAGATACGTCTGAAACCTGGGTGGCAAGATTCCCAGCTCAGCACAGAAGGCTCTGGGATGGTTGGTGCAGCAAGGCCATCGTTGCTTTCGGCATTGTGAGCGCAGGAGGCCTGTTTATTGCGAAGCGAGATGAAGCGAGGTTTCGAGGGAGGCGGTGTTCTAAGATTCTCTGACTCACAGAACCGGAGACTGAGATGATGGTGATGATGATGATGATGATGATGATGCCTACCAATGGCCTACGAGATGACTTCCCTCAAGGGCTCCCTGCTCTTCGATGTACGCGGTGATCTCCTTGTGATACTCCATGACCTTGTCGAAATCCTTCCCAGGCACCAGTGATTGGCAATGCTGAAACCCTTGGCCTCTGGCACAAAGACTGTAGACTTATCATCTAAAAGGTTCTTCTTGTGGTGGTGGCGGTGGTGGTGGTGGTGGTTGTGCTGCTTACAAACTATCAGTCAGTTACGATCCAGGCACTGCCCCCTGTTGCCTTGCCAAGTGAAACCTGAGGTGAATAACCACTTTGAAGTGACGCCCTGAACATGAGCGGCGTCGTTTTCCTTGTCACCCTGCACTCTGGAAGCCTGGTTGGCGTGACAGGTATAGAGGCGTTAAAGGCACAGGGATGTTGTTTAAGTTTAAGTTTAAAACACGTGCATGGACCCCGGCGCACAAACCGGACCCTTCTGTAACCTTTCTGAATAAGGCCTCCTCGCTTCGGGGCAATCGACTTCGCAGTCCCATTCCCCGCGGGCCTTTGCCTTCACAGGCTTGTCCGATGCCTCGGGGTGCAGGCAGTGACAGTCAGCAGCATCAGACGGCCAGCAGAGGATCAGCAGCCGCACTAAAAACATCACAAGTGTGCGCAAATCCCACCTTTTGTTGAGAAGAAGATTGCAAGAAGAAATGGCCCAGCTCAGCACGGCCCAACTTGCAGCTTGCCTCACTCCTCCCGCCCGAATTCGCTTGTCGCTTGCCTTGACTTGCTTCCTGAACTTCTCAATGAGGGCTTCGGCCTTCAGGGGCTGCGAGGTCCCAGAGTCATTGTGTTGAGTTTCTGTGCAAGGGCTATGTCGATGGACTTCTTAGCGGATCGGCAGGTAGGCAGCGTGCTCAGCTCATGAGTGCCAGCTTAGGTCAACTAGGCCCTGGCATTCTGCTTCTTGTCGCCGCGGAATCCTTGCATTGGCTTCAGGAACTTCAGGACCCCGAGTTGCTGGGTCCAAACGTACCTCGACTCCTCAAGTGATCTCTGGAACTCCAGGAACAACGAGACTCAGGCTTCAGAGGTTGTGGGGAGTTGTTTAGAGGGAGTCTCGGATCACAGTCTGACACTGAAAAAGACCTTTAACTCCTTTGGGTGTCTGGAATGAGAAACAGCTTTCGAAACTCCAAACTTCAAACACCTCTGTGA